GCTTCATCTCAAAAAACTAAAATGTTCGACATTCAAAACATATTGAGTAAACTTTAAAAATTGGAGCAAAACATATCTTGTTTAATTGATTGGTAAGCTATTGATAGGTCAAACAACAAAATAAGTAAGGAAATATAAGGAAAGAGCACTCGCGATGAATTTGCAGGGAGTTGACACTGGAAGATTAGTCCCAGAATATTTTTGGTTTTTCGTTCGAAAGCTAACAAGTCTAAATCAAAATTTTGACTCCGAAATTTACAAAAAAGATAAATAGAAACACTTTAATTTAATTTCAGACATTAAAACTACTTTCAACCTAAATGATTATTTCTAAAGATCAACTGACTCTTTAACAATTGGCTTTAGAACTGCAATTCCTCCGAAAAGTTGTTTAAAAAAATTGTAGATTGATGTTTTATTGTTTTTTAGTTTGATTTATATTTTTTTAAACTAAACGTAAGCTTATTTTTTCATGAACCAGATGATCAGCTTGAGTATTCTTGTCATTCCTATAATGAAATGTCTCGTTTAAAAGAGGAAGAGAAGAAAGGAGCTGGGGAACGAATATCAGGCACTACACCAGGACGTCCCGCTGGAGCTAAAGTCTTAGCGGATTGTGTTCGAACACCAAGACAACCTGCCAGCTGTTTTGTCGAAGCTTCGTTCAAACAAGATAAAGAATTTGCAAAAGTGAAGGCGGTCGGAGAAAGAAGACTTGTGTACAGAGGCGAGGAAACTGTTGGGCGGACTGGAGAGGAGGCTTCAACGGAGAGGGTGAGTTAGACTTGTGTTATTTGTCTTGCTTTGTGTCACGTGAGGTTTATTCCTCGTGGCCTGCAAAACAATGAGCACAGTTGTACTCAAACCTCCAATCTTGATTCGGACCTTGTTTTGGACATAGAGAAATTCATGTGAAAATTAGTCCATGGTTGTGCCTCTATAAATGTTGAATTTATCAACTGCCGTCAACGTGTTAGATTTTTGAGAGTTTTTCTAGATAACGACATTATATCTGATTTTTTAGGTTCAGAGTACCGGAAAACGGATTGTTTTCGGACCAAGCAGCACACCGTTTTCATACTGAGCTTCTAAGAACGGAGATTAACAAAAAAAAGACAGATGAGAAAAACTAGAAAAGACGAGAGGCGCAGTACAGAGGGTTGTAGATGAGAAGTTTTGGCCTTCGGCAATGAAATAACTATGTCTCAGGAGACAAAAAACATAAACAACAGTTAAAGAGTTCCATCAGAGAAATAAATGGAACTATCAGAAAGGCAAGATCGAGCTCAAGGAAAATAAGTTGAGGGTTTGGTAAAAGCACTTGATGATGTTGAATTACCAAATTGGATACAACAAGATTTGGCATTGGGCCGAAACATCCTGTCAGGGATAAATTTAATGAGCCACACTTTCTCGCCGATATTGATATTTTTCTTTTGGATCTCAGAATTCGAAAAATCGCTGGCTCTTTATGAGATCGAATCAGTGGCAAAAGCCTATCGTAAGAGAATGAAACAAACACCATCTGACAACGGCGTTCAGAAGGCCCGAAATTATCTCAAGAGAAAGGAATTGGTTGCGGTACCGTATGGCAAGGGCACTGGTTTTTGTGTAATGAGGAAGGATACCTACGACAACAAGCTATCGAATTTTTTAGATTCAAGTCAGCTCAGCGAAAGCAAAGAAACATGTAATTCGATCAATTTGAAGATAGAAAAACATATCAATAAGGAACTGTTGGCTACAAAAAGACGAAATAAGTGAGAACCTCTACAAAGGGATGAGGTCTACTGGGGGCTAGGTGAAGTTGTGTAAAAGAACACATCATTGAGACTGGACATCTTAATGCCTGTTAGCTCTTATTATAACCTGAACGAGGTTCTTGCAAAAGTTTTCGAGAAAATTGAGGGCGCAAGCATCGAAAACAATTGATTAGAAAAGAGAGAAACCTCAGATAGCATCAGTGTTGAGCCCAATGAAAATGTGCTATCTCTAGTTGTGAAGAGTTGGTCTACAAATGTTCCACTCAATGAAGTAAAAGACGTAGCTCTGAGAAAGCTGCATGAGCAAGATGAACCACCATCAGTTGCTAGGAAAACCATGAAGAAACTGTTGAACATGGCAGTTAGTGAAGTCCATTTCAAGTACAATGAAAACATGTTACGAAAGATGTTTTGGCAATAGGAGCATCTCTGGCCGTTATTTTAGCAAACAAAACTGCCTTATCGAGGGATATTTCCGAAAGATTTCTCGAGTGCAATAAGAAAATCATGTACAGGTCAAAAGGTGGGGAATGAGTTGGCTGTTTGAACTGGTATCACGTAAAATGCGTTGATATATCAGATGATGAGTTTCGAAACATAAGAACAACATCCGGTACTGTAGAAAATGCATCGCGATAAGTGAGAAAAATAAAACAGTGCAGCAAGCTAAACTTTTTATCCGTTACGAAGGGTTATAAGCGGGCAGCAACTTTACTACATCCAAATTTACAGTTCACAATAGAGACACCATAATATACAAAATGAAATTGCCAAAAAAGGATAAGGAACTGTTGACAAATTGACTAAGGAAGAACTAAATCCAGAACTACCAAAACCATATGACTCATGTAGATTAATGTCCTTAGATAAGAATCCAGGAGTAAGACCGATAAGCATAGGAGAAGTTATGCGTAGTATAATATGACGAACAATATTCAAATGCCTAAAAAACGAACTCATGTCGCTCGGTTCAAATTACCAACTCTTTCTAGGACAAAAACATGGCATTGAATGAGCTCAATACAGCAAAACCTCCGCCAAAACTGTTTTATTGATAGGTGCCAAAAATGCTTTCAATTCGCTAAATTGAAAACTGGCATTGAAAAACATCAAAAAGTCAAACCCATCTCTTTTAACAGCGTTTAAAAACTTGTACTCCAATCCATCTAAATTGTTCGTTAACAAAAAAACATCTACTCTCAAGAATGGACAACCCAGGGGGATCCACTAGCAATGGCCATGTACAATCTAGCCATAATATCCCTCATAAAATTTTTATCAGTAGACAACGTAACCCAAAAAAGGTACGCAGACGATGCAAACGCAGTCGGTAAATTAAGCAATCTGGAAAAAAAATCGATAAAATTGTATCACTAGGTAAATTTTTTGGCTATCATGTTAAAGCATCCAAATGTCAACTCCTTGTCAACGATGAAAAACTCAAAAAAGCTGAGAAAATCTTCAAAAACACAGGAATCATTATAAAGACAGGCACCCGAGTGCTGGGTTCAATTATAGGAACAGAATCTGAATGTAAAATTTTCCTCAGGTTTTCAACATAACGAGCAAATCAAAATTTTGGAAAAAGTAACGAAAACTGCTGAAACCTCAAGGAAAATTGCTGAAACCTCTGATACAGCAAGGAGTTCCCCAAAACATCTATGCCTGCTCTACTAGAGGAGTTCAGGAAAAGTTTTCACTTCTAACCAGGACAACGCCTAACAGTATGGAAATCTTAGATATATATGAAAGATTATCAAAGAACATCAAATACTTAACCTAGTCGGTAAAGACACATTGAATACCCAGTTCCATGAACTCTTCCTTGCCCCTTAAAATGGGCGGCCTTAAAATCAACTTTCATCCGACCATGAAATATATATACAATGGTCTAAAGAAACATCACTGGTACTGGAATCTCGAGCTCCTGTTACAGCAATAACAGAGCAAGAAAAAATTTGTAACGAAATCTAAAAATTGAAATCTGATAGAACAAACCGAAAGAAATCAAACCTCATTAACTCCTTCAATGAAACAGAGAAATAAGCAATCGACCTGAATTTTGAAAAGGAACCCACTAATTGGCTCAATGCTTTACCACTCAGCAGATACAATTTCAACATCAGTAAATCAGAAGTTAGGGATGGTATTTACTTAAGATACGGCATGAAACCGATCAAAATTTCACTAAAAAGTGCATATGGGGCTAATTTCAACTTGACACATGCCCTGCACTGTGAGAAGGGCGGTTACAATGAAATTAGAGAGACATCCGCCAAACTCATGAACGAGGTTTGTCAAGACGTCCAGATTGAGCCGAAACTTCAGCCGTTGCAAGGCGAAGGCTTTGTCGACAATTCAACTACAGCTGAAGATGAGGCACAACTTGACATTATAGCAAACGAACTCTGGGGTTCACGATTTAGTCGCGCTTTCTTTGATAAGAAAAATTTCAACCCCCATGCCAGGACATCGCGGAAACTGCATAAAGACGCATACAAATATCACGAAATGCTGAATAACTTCAAATATCAGCAAGGAATTTCAAACGTAGAGCAGAGTAGTATCTGAATTTTAATTTTCGGATGCACCGGTGGCGCTGCTTCAACATCCACGCGGACGATGCAGCGATTACCCGCAAAATTAAATGAAGAAAGACATGAAAGGTACCCAGAATCGATAAACTACATAAGAACTAAAATAAGCTTCGTGCTCCTGAGAAGCTCTATACTTTGTATAAGGGGTTACAACTTCATCAGCGCTACTGTAGAGTAAGGACGGCTCAGATAAATTAACATTACGACTATTCATTTAATGCTGATTTATGGCTTCATTGATAAGATTATACAGTTCGCTGATATTTTTGCATTTTTATAACGCTGGTATGGCACTATCCAGCTTGCGCACTTACCGTAACTAAACGGATGGGCGTCTTTTGTAATTTAGTTTGTTTAGTCATGTTTCACTTTACTTAACCCTAATTTTGAAATTCTAATGTTTTCTTTTGACTGGGTGAAATGATGAAGGATTAGTGAAGTAACTTCGGTGACTATGATAATTTCTGACGTTATGATAATTTCTAGAAAATCATGAGGAAAAAATTCATGCCCTGAACAAATGTGAAAAATTAAGAAAATTTTTCTCGAGTTTATAGTGGTAGATCTAGTTTTTAGGGATTGATTTTTTTCACTAATCCGCTTGCGTATTCTAAAGCATGATACTGATCATACTTCTAAACGAGAACCTTTTTTAGATATGACTGTTTGGTTGTAGTTGATTAATTCCCAGATGAAAATGGAAAAAAGAATTGCATTGGAGATCGGTAACTTGGACAAATCAGAGGTAAGAGGAAATCTTAATACAGCTTTTTTTGTCTTAAAAATATGAAAGTTGTTAAAAGTTATTTTTAAAAGTTATTATTCAGGTTACATACTTGAATTTGGATCACTGCAAGTCTTCTACGCTATGCGGCTTAACAAAAGATTACATCGGGCTGGAAAGTCTCAGTTTAATTAATATTGGTCTCACTACTTTGGAAGGATTTCCACCGCTGCAGAAACTTCGTAAAGTAGGAACTGCTCTTTGTCTAAAAAGATAATGCAATTTCTAGTAAAATGAAGCTGTATTGCGAAACTTCTCTTTGTGTTTCAGCTTGAACTTGCAGACAATTTTCTCTCTGGTGGTTTTGAAGTGCTAGAATCTTGTCCTAATCTGCAGAAAATTAATTTGAGTGGCAATAAAATCAAAGATGTCGAGTGTCTTAGACCACTGGTGAGTATTTAAAAAAAATCTGGATCAAGTTTTTTTTGACGCGATTTGACGGCCCGTTTCAGTAAAACAACAAATTAGTTTTGAAAACGATCAGTGAAGTATTGGGTTTTTTTTAATAAAAGGACTGGAAGACTTTTCTATCTATGTAGAGCAAACTTGCAAGCCTGGTGTCTCTGGATTTGTTCAGCAATGAGATCACTTCCTCCGAAGCTTTTCCAGACAACGTGAAGAAGGTTCTCCCAAATGTGCAATCCTTCTGCGAAGACGAGCTAGAAGGTATGTTAGTTAATGCCGTATTTCTCGGAAAAGACGCGCATGTTTCGATTAGGAAATCAAACCAAGTACTCGATTTTTCCTATACTACTCCTATACTACACTTGCAAATGAAAACGGTCGTGTTGAAAACTTCATTTTTGGCTTTAAAGTAGTGTATTTACCCTTGCGACCCGGAACTAGAATTTTTCCCTGTAAACAACTTCACTCCCAGAATGGTCAATTTAGTAGGAATGGTAAACATGCTCAATTTCTTGAAAGCTTAAGTAAAGTACCATTTGAGCGGAGTAGTAATCAGGCGTAGTTCTGTTCAGGCAGAAAATATTTTTTTTCAAAGAAATTTCCAAAAAATTAAGTTTTTTTTGGTTGTTTGGTTTTCGCCTTAATTGGCAAGTCATGGCTTTTTTCTGTTTTAAACAATTCATACTTTAATTGACAGTTCTCCTGTTATTAAGAAAAAGGTCTTAAAACATTGATGCACTTGGGTATAAAGCAATTTTTGAGTTCAATTGAAATTCATCTGCTGAAAGCGACGTAAATAGCACTCTCCAAATACGAACGTGGAAATGGTGCGAAAAAACGGTTTCGAAAGTGGAATTTATTTTTAAGATTTGCAGCGGAATAAAAACTTTACCTATTGATCCAGTTTTCTCAAGTTGGGTTCATGTTATCAAAAAAAGTGCCAATCATTAATTGTTCTGGAAATTCAAAGAGCTTAAAGGGCATTCATTTTTTCTTTGAAATTCGAAAATTTTTTCAAGAAAGTGTTTTTCAATCTTCGATTGGCTATTTTTTTTTAAATAATTTACCTTTTTTGGATTTTATGTTTCTGTTTTGTTCCAATTAAAATGATTTCAACTTGTTTTTTATCATCTTGGCAGACTTATTTTGTGTCGTTTAAATAGCGAAATTTCATGTTAAATTTAAATGTTGTTTTGTGTCGTTTGAATAGCAAAACTTAATTAATAAATTTCAAAGGTAACGAAACAATGGTTGTGTTTTAAAAAAGTTTTAAGTCAAAAGTTTTAAAACAAGCGCTCAAAGTATTATGACAGCAATTTCTTAAGAATTTTTTTTCTGGTTAGTCAAATTTTTGATTTTTGACCGTTTTTTGAAACTTTTTTCTGAAAACTACTATATCAAATCTGAGATTTTGAGGTCAATTGAGAGAACGGGTTATGTGAAGTGCTTCCATATAAGCGGCTTTGCCCAATTTCTCCCCAAAAAATTAAGGGTGTTCGGAAAAGTCAATTATTTGATTTTTTGCCAATTTTTTTTGTGTACTTCTCTTGAAAGCAACCCTCACACAGGGGCGGGGAGGGCAGACGCCTTCTTCTTGCTCCTCAAGGATTCGACCCCCTTTGCTTATATTTAATGACATCCATTTCAGGCCGACCAGCTTTAACATTTTTCTACAGGTGGTCCTCGAAAAAGTCAAATATTTGTTTTTTTGCCGGTTATTGAAAGTTTTTGATTGTTCTCGAAAACCGCCCTTCTAAATCTGAGTTTTCGGATTCAATTGATGTCGAGTTCGGATTCAATGCTGATTCAGTTTTCTCAAGTTGGATTAATGCTATCTTTGAAATTCGAAAGTTGAGATTTTTTCAACCAAATCTGTTTTAATGTTTACTTGCGTTCATTACTCTTGTCCAATCTTCGATTGGCTATGTTTTACTATTAAAATTTGAAATTCAATTGAAAGTTTCAAATCTTCGTCGCTTGAATAGTTTGCTCCAAAAATCTTTTTTTTCGTGATTCAATTGAACTCTCAAAACAATTCATTTTTTCTTATTTTCATCGATTGATTAAATTGCATCAAAAAATGTTTTGATCTCATATAACAACTTGAAATGTTTCGAAATTCTATCGCTTGAAAAGAATGCTACCGAAAATTTTTTGATTCAAACTAAAGCCAGCATCCAAAATAACAAACGATTTTGAAGTTTTTGATTGCTTTGTATTTCACCGAACCAGTACAAGCTAATAAAACAACTTCAAAAATAATTTCAACGCGTTATAGCTCTCCTAAAATATTGAGAGCGAATCCGTTCAAATTGTGAGATTCATTGAACTAGTTTTATCTTTGAAACCGTTCCGTTTGAAATGTATCAGTTAACTGGCTTGATAGCTAGCTTGCTTCGCGAAACTTCAGATCTGAGCGAAACATCTAGCTATCAAAACATTTTTAAATATTTCAAATGTTTCATAGTTTGCTTCAAAAACGTATCAAATCTTTTCAAGCTTTTCAAAGAAATTAAAGTGTTTCAATGTTTCATTGCTTGATAGTTAAACCAAAAAAAAACTAAAACCATTTCAAGAATTAAAAAAAAACAGAAGTTTTTTTATTGTATTGCTTGATGTCTAGCTTCAGAACTTTTCAGTATTTAATTTTGCTTCGCTGAATGATTGCTTGCTTCAGAAAATTCTATGCACTACAGTTCAAGCTATCAAACCAGTTCAAGATGTCCAAGTAATTTGATAGCTTGTTCCGATAAACTAAAAAAACAGTTCAAGATATTAAATAAGTATTTTAAATTTGATCGCTTGATGGCTACTCTCAGAAATCCCTGAAACGCACGTTTATGCATGTCTCAGGTCTTCCTCCACCATATTTTGATAATAAAACTAATTTATAAAGTATATAAAATTCTAGTTAATCAATTTAAGCTTTCAAAACCATTTGATTTGTTTCAAGTTTCATTACTTGATGACTGGCTTCAGAAGACTAAATTTAAAGTATTTAAATGTTTTGAGTGACAGGTTTGATCAAAACATATGCAAACCAGTTACAGCTATCAAGAAAAATTTAAAGTGTTTTACAAATGATTGTTGGACTATTTTACTTGAAACACATCTCACCGCTAACCAGTTGGTTGAATTGGTCGAGCTTGATTGAAAAGAAACTTCAAATCTGGCCCAATCTATCTATTATATATTTAAATGCGGGCTTAACTATCTCGCCATGTTTAAGATTTTTCAACGAAATATTTTTGCATGTTTAACAAAAGAATTTTTGCACGTTTAAGCTATATCGTATACTGCAATGGTCCAGGTTTTTTTTCGATTTTCCTGTTTAAATTTAGTGTTTATTTCATCAAGTTTGAAATTAGGAAACCAATAGTGGGATGTTATCAGGGCTTTCCCAGGTTTTGCGATTCTGGCCTCCATATATGAATAAATAAATCCTTTTAGTTTACGAGATACGATAATTTTCGAGACTTTTTAAAAATTTCTAGAAAATTTAAATTTGAAAAATTTCTCAGTTTTTGAAGTTCTCACACTGTAGTTGGGTGCTTTCAGGGTACTATCAGGGGTTCAAATCTTGCCTCCAAATATCACTTCTCAAATCTTTGTAGTTTTCGAGATATGACGTTTTTTATGATTTTTTCAAAAGTTTTCAAAAAACTTCGAATTTAAAAAAATTCAAAATTTTGTGAAGATCTCAATCCTGTTGTTGGAAACTGTGAGGGTACTCTCAGTGGTTGCGAATCTTGCCTCAGAATATGACTGCTCAAATCTTTGTAGTTTTCGAGATATGACGTTTTTACGATTTTTCCGAGAACTTAAGTATAGAAAAATTTTTCCGAGAACTTTGTTCCCATCTCTATATTGAGGCTCTATCAGGGTACTCTCAGGAGTTGCGAATTTTACCTCCAAAAATGACAGATCAAAACTTTAGTTTTCCAGATATGACGTTTTTTTGTCATTTTTCAAAAAAAAATTTGAAAACTTAAATTAAACCTCTTTATTCAAAATCTGAAATTCCTAGCCTGTTGTTGGGGGCTGTCAGAGTAATCTCACGGGTGGTGAATTTGGCTTCCAATTAGGAATGACCAAGCTTTCCCTTTTACGAGTTACGACGATTTTTGTCATTTTTTTGAGAAATTTTCAGAAAACTTAAATTACAAAATAATTCACAAAAATGATATTTCCAATCCTGTAGTTGAGTGCTGTCAGAGTACTGTCAAGGATTGCGTATGTTGCCGTCAAATGAGAGTGCTCAAATCTTGGTGGTTTCAAAGATGTTTTTTCTGGTTTTCAAAAAATATCTTTTTTTTTTAGAAAAGTTAAGTTTGAAGTTTCTCAAAATTTGATTTTTTCCAAAGTTGTAGTTGGATTTTGTAAGAGTACTCTCAGGGGTTGCAAATCTTGCGTCCAAATGTGACTGCTCAGTTGCTTTCAATTTCTAAGATGTGACGTTTCTTAGTTAATTTTGAATGTTTTCAAAGAACATTTATAAAACTTCACAAAGTTTTATGATTTTTCAAAATTTGTATTAAAAAACCTGAATAAAAAATTTTGCAAGATTTGTAATAACGAACACTGTTATCAGAGTATACTCAAAAAATGCAGATCTTTTTTCCAATATATGCGGCTTTAATGAGTTGTTAAAAATTCGAAGCACCGGAGGTGCGTTACTCGCTAGTAGAATTTAATTAGTCAAAATTCGCTGATTGATTCTTTTGCTTGAAAATTCTCACTTTTTGCGTCTTTAATCAAGCTGCCAAAATTTTTTCCTCAAAACTTCATCACCGCTTGTTTTTTGAGTAGCAACTGCAGCTGCTTTATTGTCAGCTCGTGTTAGTAATTTTTCAGGTGATCGTGGCTCAGATGCGAGGAAGTGACATCCAGCGTGTGCACTACCCCCCACATACTTTTACAGAACAACTCTTTTTACGCAATTCAGTCTCTAACGCAATTCAGTCTCATATTTAAGTCGTGATGATTTTTTTCAGGAAAAGTTAAATTTTGTTCAGGCTCCTATTTACTGTTTTGTGGTTTTATTTTTGATTTCTTTTTCAGTTCACTTCGATTCCTTTGTTTATAAGAAGGCAAACTGTTAAAGTGAACAGTTAAAGTGTAAATGTCACGAAATTGAGTTAATTTTATCAAAAAAGTCGATCATAAATTGTTCTAGAAATCGGAAGAGCTTTAAGGCCATCTTTTTTTGAAATTCGAAAGTTGAGATTTTCAAAAAAAAGGCAGCATTGTTTTCTGTTCACTTGCATTGGTATATACTCTTCTCCAGCTGTCTGTCGGCTATGTTTGTGACGTGTTTTGAATGAACCCATCTAAATAAATTGTGAAAGGGTCGAAAAAGGTGCTTAGTTTTTCTTTATCCTCGAGCTTGAGTTCATTTACAAACAAATCATCTGCAAAACAAAGCCATTAAAAAAATTTTTGATTTTGAAAAAGATGATGCTTAAACTTGTTAAATGAAACAGGATGAAATTTTTTTTGAAATTTTGTATTTCTCTTCCTTATTAGTTTCAGTTACAGCTATCCAACTGTTTTGTTGTTTATTTAGGTCTCTCAAGTGGCGAGGAAGAAGAAGATGGAGGAGAAGAAGGAGGTGAAGACGAGTATGAGGATGAGGGCGATGGCGGCAGTGGCGAAGAAGAGGATGACGAAGAAGAAGGAGATGAGGATGACGAGATACAGCCCCTGACGGCCAATGGAGCCCAGTACGCAGAGGGAGGAAAGAGTGGACCTTCTACAAATGGTTGGCTCCTATTTACATGTTTTAATACACTGCAATGGCCATGATTGTTTGAAAGAGTAGTCAGCTGCTGTGAAGGTACCTCGATCGCAGGTAATGCGAAGCGCCGCTTCGTGTCTGAGCTCAGTAGCGCTTAGATATTTTCCTGAGACCGTGGAGCATATGCGAGAATCAAAACTTCTAGGTCCGAGGTTCGAATCGGGCACATATCATAAGCGTAGTGAATACTCTTATATAGCTCTTAGGTGATTTTTGTTAGTTTTTTCAGGAAAAAGTTTTAAAATTTGTTCCCGCTCAAACTTGGTTTTTCGCAGTTTGACTTCTGATTTATTTTCAAGATCAGTTCTTTTCTTTTGTTCAAAGAAAGGCAAACTCCACTATTCAACAGCAAAAGTTTATAAGTCGCGAAAAACGTGATCAATTTTTAGTTTCCATAGTGGAATTTAATTTAAAGATTTCCCAGCGGAAGAAAAAATTTACCTATTAATCTAGTTTTCTCAAGTTGGGTTCATGTTATCAAAGAAGCGCCAATCATGAATTTTTCTTGAAATTCAGGCAGCTTTGAGGCCGTATGTTTTTTTTTCTTTGAAATTCGAAATAAAAAAAGTCCGTATTTTTTACTATTTCCTTGCGTTCATGACTTTTTTCCAACTGTCTGTGGGCTCATGTTATCAAAGAATTTGGGATGTTATTTGATGGGTTCATGTTATCAAAGAAGCGCCAATCATGAATTTTTTTTAATTTCAGGCAGCTTTGAGGCCATATGTTTTTTTTTTCTTTGAAATTCGAATTAAAAAAAAGTCCGTATTTTTTAAACTATTTCCTTGCGCTCATAACTTTTTTCTAACTGTCTGTGGGCTGTTTTGTTTTCCAGGCTGATTTTTTTCTCATTATCTTTTTTGCCGTTTTATCATTTGTATTTGTGAAGCTTGGCTATTCTATAAGTTTTGTTCCAATGGTTTTTTTACAGGTTTCCTCAAAATGAATTTCATAAAAACAAGAAAAACGTATGAAGTTTTTGCTAGACCAATTTTTCCAAATATTTTTCAAACCGTTTCTTTGACTAAGTAGCTTTCCTCGAATTTTTGTCGGTTAGTTTACTATGCTATGTTTTTTCTCGCATGTGGGGCGAAGCTCTGCGTTGTCTGTGTTTTAGTAATGCTGGTTTTTCTCTTGCTTGTTTTCACCTTAGAGCTTCTTGCCGTTTTCTGGCTTGTAATTATGAGTGCAAATTCGCTTCAGACTTAAAGCGCTGAACGTTCAATTTATTGCTTTCTGCAAATACAATTATTTAAAGGAGTGCCTGGCGACGACAACTCCGATGATGATGGCGAATTCGATGACGAGGTTGGCGAAGACGAGGAGGATGCAAGTGATTTTGATGATGACGATGACCTCGACGATGAAGATGACGATGATGGCGAAGAGGCTAACGAGGGACCTGGTCTGGAGTATTTGTACAAGAAAGATCTAAACGATGAGGATGATGATATTGAGTACAGGGCGTCTTCCAGGAAGCTAGCAAGTTAGCGAAATATATTAATTGTCACATTTTTTTCGCTCTCCTTTATTTGGTTTTATTGTGTTCCAACTCTCTGTTGGCTATATTTTGAAAATGTTAGACCACAAAATAACATTTTTTGACGCGCACGACCCCTCAAACTATGTATATATTGGAACCCTTAGAAAAAGTTTTGACTGGTCTGTCAAAATAGGGTGTCGAAGATAGGGAGCCTTTAGGAGACGAAGATGTCGAATTCCGGAGGGAGAAAAGCGTCGGAAGACCCAGCCCCATTCACCGCTGAAAGCCAAGCAGAATTTTCTATCTCTTCTTGTTTTGCTCACCGAATGTTCTTTAGATGGGAGCAAAGAGGGAATCGATGACTCAGATGTTGGACCCACTGCTGCCAAACAGAAGAAAGTAGAGCGAGTAAGGACCACTCACGCCTCAGAGGAAGATGAAGATGACGAAGAAAACAACATAGAACCACAGGTCAGCCAACTAAATTGAAGTCGAAAAAGAAATTTGTTGGTTGCCTGCCACTTTTGGTTGCGTTTAAAAAGCGACGCAGAGCAATCTGGCTTGTTTAAGAGCAAACAAAAAGAATTAAAGCGATTGAGCAATGCGTTTTGAAGTTAATACGCTTGCAATTAGCAAGCGTTATCAAATCGGAATGTAAACTTGTTGCTGGCAAGCAACTGGTTCAACAAAATTACATCTTTTGATAGCTTGATTTGTTAGAAATTCAAATTTTTCGGCTTCTTTGCCACTCTTGGCCTAGAAGTAACGCAAATGTCGTAGTTTTGAATGCAGTCAGGAACTGGTTTTTTAACTTCAAATATTCCATTTCAAACATAAATTGTCGGTCTTACTTTTGTCGTATGTTTCGTCGTGATTATATCGTGACTACGTATGGGATGGCAAAGGTCCCTCTCTCGAATCTGGTCGAGAGAGTTTTATTTAGAGTGAAAATAATCAGTTTTAAAAATAGATAGTCGGCTTATCGTTTGTCCGATTATGTTTTGTCGTTTTTGATATAGGTCCTGATGGTTTTCTCATACAAAGTCTAAAAATTGATCATGCCTTGTTTGGTCTTTTGTGGTTTGACTTTTATTTTCTTTTTAGATCAAATTCAGTTGATAGAAGAAAACAAAACCACGCTCTGGAATTAAGAAAGTGAAAATGACCCAAAAAAATGTGAATGACTTTTAGGTTCTAAAGCGGATTTTGTTGTTTTTTGGATTTCCAGCAAATTTAAAGCTTGAATATTGATTCTGTTTTCTCGAATTGAGGCAGTCTTGTGAAAAAATTGATGATCATAAAATATTCTGGAAATTTAGAGAGCTTCAACGTGATGTATATATATATTTTTAATTTCTTAAGTTTCGGGCAAAAAGTTTTGTTGTTTAATTTGACTTGATTGGCACTTTTCCGACTCTTTGTTGGCTATCTTGTTTTCTTGCTTCAAAACTTCATTCGGCCTAAGTGGTTTCAGATTAGCTTTCATCGGCAAAGTGATCTAATTTAGGGTCGTTTGAGGGGAAAAATAGGTTTTACGTTTTTCACGCCGGCGGTTCAATATGCTGGATGTGTTATCCTTAAATAGAACATCATTCGAGACAAAATTTTGAAGTTTTTGCTATGTAGTTAATTCGACAATTTTTAAAGTATTTTCACTTTTTGTCTGCTTGTTTGCAATGCTGTGTGTGTAGTACGCAAATCTTGAGAAACTTCGCTTCGTCTCTGTTTGAAAACTAGCCTGAGGGAAACCTATAAGCAGTTTGCCTTTAATTACTTTTTCAATTTGGTTAAAGGTCTATTTTATAGGATTGACTGGTACATTTGTCGGTTAAAGGTCAGAATCATTTAGACTAGTTAATTAATTTTTTTTCAGGCTCATCCTTAAAAAAACAGAATTGTTTAATTTATTATCTACTTCCAAGCCTGATAAAACGTCATAAGACCATATGGGCCGTTTCGAATGGAGCGAGCAAATGTCCCGTTAATTTTAAACTCAGTTTAGTCGCTTTTTATTTTTTGACATTATAGGTTTTTAGTATCTTGTAAAGAAGGAAAATTATAATTATACATTTGACCGTTTGTTTCAGGATGCTACGTGATTCGTGTTCTCAGATGAGACGTGCAAAATATTCCCCGATGGACCTTGCTCGGTTAAAATCCGAATAGAATTACAACTCCAACTGCATATTATAGTCTGGTTTGGCCTTTCCTCGGCATAAAACTAGTTTTTATGACTTCTGTGAAACTTTTAGAATCTTCTAAATTTTATTTCTCATTTCAAAATGACGATTCAAAGTGTTTTGTTTATCCGTGCAGTTTTTTGGTTTGATCCGTTTTAAAGGTATTTTTGTTGTTGTGAGTAAGTTTCAGTCCTCCTGATTGAGTTTTCAGGTCTATTCTTTGTATTTATTAAATTGCTAATGTGATTTATTCAGCAATCTTTGTATTAATCGTTCTCTCGGTATAATTTACAACTGCTCATTTTAATCATGCCGTGTTATTTTTCTTAGAATTTACTATTTTTTATTGAATCATCTTTTGTAAAGCCAAGATACCATTAACGAAAATTAGTGTAAAAAATGAGTGAGGATGTTTAGTTCGTGATCGGAAATCAAAGAACGGCTATGAAACAAACGCCAGGGATCTTAGTTATAATGCTCCTTTCCCCACCGGTTATGCCGAGAAGTCCGCTATTCTGTTCGAAATTCGGATACGGTTAGTGTTTGAGTTAGTTTATCAAAGCGTGGATACCCGTGACAAGGTGCCCTATGGAAGAAATCGTTAATGAGATCAAGCGCCGATCTAAGCTGATTGCTGCGCTACGCTTGCCTTTCCACAAATAATTATGATACTTAGCTGATGGTTAAACTAATTATTGACACCAGAAGTCAAAAAACGAAGTGTCGCTTATTGAAATTGAATCTACAAGAAGTTATGCAAACAAAAAATGTTGGTTTCTTTTGAGAAGGGAAAGTTCGCTCCGCTAAGCAATTAGAAGAACAAATTGACACTAGAGAGGAAAGATACCGTTTGAAAGAAGCAACTGATTTGAACTCATTTTCATTTTCTGAAGATTTAAACCAGCGTGCTACAAATTTGAAAAATGGAAGCAAAAACTTTGTCCGTATTCTTGAGCCTAGCGCTGACTCTATTTTCGACGAGTCTTGCAGCTGAGAAGAACGATAATTTGGACCCGTTTAATCTCTACTCAACGGACGATTTCTTCAATTTGGAAGGTAAATCTTTCGAAGTATTAAGAAAAAACTGATATTTACACACGCATAGCTTGTGTTATAGTATGAACTTTCTTTTTTTTTTAAACCTAAGGCGCAAATATTGTTGTGATGCAATTGTTGCGAAAAAATGTGTTCATTTTGATCCAGATATTAAGTATAGCCAATGCTAAAGGATATTAACACAGACTATTATATTGCAAATAGCACTTTAGCTTAATGTTTTCATGGTTCTGTAGCGTAGAGGTAGGGAATGAGACCAGCAACAAAATCAGAGGGTTCGAACCTGGGCAGCGTCGGATGTTTTAATCAACTTTTTTGTATACTAGCTAAAATGCGTCCGCTCTCTAAATTGAGGCATGCTCGTTGGTAAATTTCTTTTCAAATTGACTGATACTGCTAATGCGTCATAATTGGCTTGCGTCACTTAGCAATTATGTAGACTCATAATTGGCGTGCGTCACTTCAGAAATTTTGTAGACTCAAAGTTTTACTCATTCAGTTTTTCCCCGTAGCGTTTTCGGTCATATTTTTGCTTGTATGCGAAGTGCAACTTCACTTCTGTAAAAACATGTGATCCAATAGAATGGATCGCTAAACGGTCTCCATTGGAAAAACAGCGGTATGTGTTTGCTTCTGATGCATAAAGTGAACAACAGTTTTGTACAGATTTTGACTTTTATTAATTGAGGTCTTAACATACTGTGTCAGATTTTAAGCGTAAATGGGTATTCGTTTTGAAGTGTGGTGCCGGCAGACCACAGTACTTGAAGTACTGATATGGGATGCAAACAAAAGGAAAACTTGTGTAAATATATCTTCGTTTGATTTGCCACTAGTTTTCTTTAAAATAAAAGTTTCAAAAATATCAATTTACTGGCCGAACTTAGAAATTACTTTTAATAACTTGTTTGTCTAAGTTTTGTAAGAAGCTATCGGTAGTTTTTCTGGACCATATTTTAAAACGAGGTTTATAACAGGACCATACTTCTACATGAATACCCGTAACTGCAGTGGCATGGCAATATTCCTCGTATCGAAGTACCTGACCTCCAAAAATTTTATTATTTTTTACTCGAATTGGGTTCTTTTGATAGAAAAACTGCTACTGATGAAACGTATCTATTTTTTCACCAGAATTATCTAAAGTCAATAAAGGCCGTGATGATTTCTTTTCAGGAATAACTCTTAGAAGTTGTTCACACTCAAATTTGTTTTTCTTGCTTATAAATATATTGAATTAGTGGCCCTATTTTCCTTGTTAGAAGGGAAATATACTTTTTACCCCACTTTTTTTCTATGAAAACAATTTTTTTCTCCGGATCAACGCGATTAAACTTAAGCTTTGTCGGCCGAGGTGAAGCTCGATAAAGGTTGCTGAATAATTATTTCACGTCCGAGATTATTTTGCTGGACATGTTTGCCTTCAGTTGAACATCATTCGAGACAAAATTATGAAATTTGTATTGTTGTTTTTTTCCATAATTTTTCATTTGATTCGACTTGATGGCTTTTGTTTCATTTTTTTTCTGATCGCTTGCATTGCTTTGTTTTGATCGATGTTCAAATTTCCTATTGGTTATGTTTTAATAAGCACCAGTTGAAGTGGCCTCGTATAAAAACCAATTCTAAGCCATCAAAGGTTCAGTTTCGTTTTTCTAAAGCAATTGAAGCGTGGTCATTAACTTGTTGGTTTTCGGTTCCAAGCGTAAGTCAACCAGAGCTGATTTTGTTTTAAAATATGTCAAACGCCTGCTTGAGATTCTAAAGATCTGGAGTTTGGGTCCCGGGCAGACGCTGTTTTTTGCTATTAGTATTATAGTTTGTTTTCGGCTCGGTTTTGTCTTAATTTTCGTTGGCTTAGTTATCGTGTTTCTCTCTGTCTATTATTCAATCTCGAATAAAGCTTTGATATTGGTATCTAACTTTTTTGTATGGAGATCTGACTTGAATTTTTTGCCGATGATTTTCGCGGGTTCCTTGTTTTTGATTGAAATTCTGAGGCTTCTTATGGTAATGTTTTTAGGCAATGTTAGGTTCTGTTTAATTTTTTATGTATCAGTGTTAAATCTGTCTTTTTTGTTCCCTGCTGTTGTTTTTTTGGTTCTTGTTGACTTGCTTTAATTGCAATTGGTGATAGAATCATTAATTCTTGAAAAACTTTTTCTGTCTGTTTTTTTTTTCACCACCAATATAGTTCTTCATTGCTTAGGCCATTGAAAATGGGAAGGAACTTTGTATTCGGTTGTGTTTCAGTTTTTTCATTTTGTTTTCTATGCAAAATCAGGTACCACAAATTATCATAGGACTGGGTTGCATAATATATCACTTTAAAGCTTTTTCAATCGTGATTCGAACCAGATAAAAAAATTTCCAAAAATTTTTTCGACTTATTTTATTTGAACTTTTCTGCCCACTAAAAGTGGAGAAAAGTTGGCCGTCGTGTGTTTGAAGTCTTAAATACTTTTTTTCTACTTAAAGTCGGGTACCACAAATAATCATATTTTTTATCACAGTCCTAAAATTTAGAAAAGTCCATTTTGATATATGCTAATGAAATTGAATTTGATTTAGCAATTGAAACAAAATTCTCAGATCTAAGTTTTTATCCTGTTCTGATTTTAAAATTGATGTTTGGAAAGGCAAAGATAAGCTAATCGTAAAAAGTGTTTTGAGCAGCCAGATAAACTTTTAGCAGGTAGACTGTTTTTAAATTTGACTTCATTCTCGATTAATAAAGTCAGTTTACGGAAACAAACGCTGCAGTTAATCAACAATTTTTTTCTCAGCTTTTATCCCCAGAATAGTTTTGTCTAATCTTTTATGAAAGGAAAAAATTAAATAAACGTTGTTGGTTAACATTGGTGTTGAATACCGAAGGTAAAAGGGACTTTTGGATTGCTTTGTTGCACACACGCATAATTGCGACAAAAGAATGTCACGCAAGATTTTGTGATATATCATTTGTGAGATAAAGCAGTTTTTTTGGTTGTGACTTGAGTTGCAACGATAATTTTCATTAAGTTTCCCCCTTTGTCGAAAAACACCAAAAAATTGTTTACTTTTATATAAACAAATAAAAGTGTTCTGTGGTGTCAAATCAGTCTCGTAGGCGAACTGTTACCCTCCCTCCTCCCTAGTTGCGGATTTAGAGAAGTTGGTGTCCCTTGGGGAAGAAAGGAGGGTAACGGTTGGCCTACGGGATTGATTTGACATGTCGACCAACTGACCAGCCTTAGGGTGCTTTTCTGCAGCATCCATTTTGGTCGACCAATCCTAGCAGCTAATATACTCTAAGTTTAACGGGGTCATTGTTTGCCAGTTTTTATCAAAAATTTATCTGCAGCTCAGAACTTTTCAACAAAAATAAGAAGGGTGACAAAATTTTCTGGTTTTTTGAAATTCTGAAACATCTCGCACTGCTCTCCCCCTTCAAAAAACGAAATTCCAATTGCAACAGCCCTTCTTCTCCCCTATAAAAAGCAAATTAATTTTTCCCGTTTTGCGAAATGTCGGGAGACAAACTGATTTAGAACCTTTTTAGCTTTAGGCCAAGCAACCGGCTAGTGTTGTTTTATTTAATTTCTATTTGCCAGGTGTCTCGTTCAATGGGTCGTCGTGGGTTGGGACGGGAGCCGGATTGAATGCGTCCTGTACCGAGGAGGAGTTAGCCCAGTTCCCTATGCGGATGAGGGCGTGGCTGTTCAACATCATGCAGCAGCTGTCTTCTTACCCCGAGTCAGAGGGGGGACTAAAAGAGAGTGAGAGAGAACTGCTGTATCAGGCTAGTGAATGTTGTTGTGTTGCCGCCTAGAATGCGTATCGTCTCTCTTATTTAACGGTCCTCTTTGTGCGGATTTTATCTAATTTTGATGTGGATTGATGAATTACTTTTTCATTGGTGCACTTTTACAAGTTCGCTCAACTGTCATTACATAAGCGAGCTTGAGACGGACTTTTCAGCACGGACTTTTTGAGCCAGCCTAGCTTAGCTATTGATTTAAACCATTTTCACTATGATTGAAATTTTTTTGATGTTTTCCTGTTGTGGTGCAGGTAATTGAGTCCCCAGAAGTTTTCCATTTTTTTATAAACGGTTTTCGGACGATATTTTAAATTTAATCTTTTTATTCTCTTTTAAATTATATGAGACCATTGTCTGGAGCTCTGCATATTTTAACCTGCGACAATCAAATCGTTTGAAAAAATAATTTGATCTGATTGAGCTGATCCACAAATGATTCCGACGCCTATTTTTAGTTTGACAAATGAGTTTTTAAATCATTAGTGTGTTAGAGGGTGACTGGATCGTGCCTATTTTTTATAATACTTTGAAGGTTTTAGAAAATAGAAGTTTATCGCAGTTTTTTACAGGCATTTTTATTCTGTTTTTGTATCGCACGTGATGCTTAGTTCCCTTCGTCCGTGTGTTGACTTTGAAGATCTTTCGAATGCAGTTCAAATTGATTTGCTAATTGGAAGACAATGTATGCTCTTCAATAGCGAAAATGCGAATGGCTCCAAAAATTTCAGCAGATTGAAGTCAAAAAAGGGTTTTAATTTATAGGATTTACTGCGGAATAAATAAATACCCATTAATCCAGTTTCTCCAACTCATTTTGTTTTATCTGAACATTTACAAAAAGAAAAGATTCTTGAAAGCGAAAGAGTTGTAAGACGAAAAATTATGTTTGAAACCCAAAAGTTGGGTTTTTAATTTTTTTTCAGAGTAGACTTTTCCCCTCAAAACAACTAGAGCAACAAATCACCCACTGATTCATTACGTAATAATTTAAAAATTTTGGGTTAAATTGATTCATAATTAGTGAACAGATGTTATTGAGCATGTTTTGCGATTTAAATACTAATTATGGTTTCTGCGAATTGAAGGGGAGCTATCAGTAGGCATTCACAGACCTGTCTAGAGAAAGTCCGTTTTGTATTATTTTCCCACATTCCAGAATGATTTTTCCAAGTGTAAAATAATAAAGTGATTTTCAGTTATAAAATTATTGGTGATATTTTTTTTTAAGTGAAAAGTCTTTAAATGCTATAATAACTACAGAAGTGCATTCATACATATTAATGCGTTTTTGAATACACATAGGTATATATGTTTTTGAGCTCAAATGAAACGAATCTGCTAATAGTTAAGTAAATTGCGCCCTCCAATAGCGAAAATGAGGGAACTTCTAGTTTCGAAAGTGGATTTTAATTTATTTTCAGATTTTCCCTGAATAAAAAAAGCTGAATAAAAAAAATTGCCCATTCATCCAGTTTTCTTCAATTGGGTTAATTTTTATCAAACAAGTGTCAATCATCAATTGTTCTGGAAATTCAAATGTTTTCTTGGAAACTTTAAAGATGAAAAATATTCAAAAAGTTTCAATCAATTTGCTCTCAGTTTCCTTGTTTTTAACACTTTTCCAAACTTCTGTTGGCTATGTTTTTCTTAAATCGAGATCCTTTTTGCGACTCAAGATCGTTTGTTTTTGCAATAAGCATTCACATGATACCGCTTTTGCCGCCGAATTTGGTCGGTCTGTGGCAGGCTTGAAGTTGAAGGTTAAATAAGAGCTCGTCTTAATGCTTGCGATTGGCGAGCGTGATCAAATCGGAATATAGACTGTTTAACAGAGTAAGTTGTAGCTTGCTTCATACTGAATTGAAATTTCTATTCGTGTCCGGCTTTTTTTCCTGGAACAGCAAAGGCCGTGAGTTCGAATCGGACCTGAAACTGTTTTTTTTTTCAAGCTGGAAATATTCCTTTCCAAAAAATGTCGGCCTATAGTTTATCTGCATATAATTTGTCCGCTGCACATTGTAGATTTGATTTTTGAATAAATTTTTCAATATAGTTGCTTTTAGCGCTTTGAATCACTCACTAATTAATTATTTTACTAGCCTTGACTTTGTATATTTAGCTGTTTTTGGTTTTTTTTTGCTTAGAAACTTTATTCGGCCTAATTGATTTCGGCCTATACTTTATCGGCTTGGGGACCTAACTTGGGGTCATCTCAAGGGAAGCATACGTTTTATCCTTCATTCTGGAACGCACAAGATGCTATAATTCTTAGCAAAGGATTTGTATTTCAAATTATTTTTCGTGACAACAATTTGGTTCTACGGGAAATTGTTTAAATTTCGTCGGCTCAGTTGACGCTTGTCAAATATTTTTTGAATTTTCACTGAATGCTGTCGATTGTAATTCTGGACGTGTTTTCGGCAAAGAGAACATGAGTCTAGACAACATTTTAATTTTTTAAGTTGTGGATTTTCGACTTTCTTATATTTTTTTTGGCTTCAGTGGTTTACTTTTTCTTTCTGCTAACTTGCACTGCTGCTTTTATGTTGTATCGCAAGTTTTTATGTGGTATCCGCTTCGCCTTTGTGTCACAAACTGTCCTTTCAACGGCAGGCGATTGACCGCTTGATCTTTAAATCTTAAAGGGATCGCCGTACGACTACACTAAGTACCCTAAGTTTTTGGTCTATTCGAACTTCGGTTTTTTTGTTGATTGTTGAATTAACAATCAAAGAGTTTGGTATTTTTTGCTTTTTCGGCGTGAAAATTTCGGTTTTTTGTAACCGCTTACTTGAGTCATCAATGGTATTTCATAATATGAATAGGAAATTTTGTGCAGTTCTGCATGTACGGGAGAATTCCTTTTTCTCCACTGAGGAAACTCAATTTATGTTGTCTTAATCATGGCTTTTTGAACTTTTCCTATTGTTTTTACGCTTGCGATTAAATAGCATTAATTAATAGTTTAATTCGGATTTTTGTTGTTGATTTCAAAACAACTTTGTTTTTTTATTTTTTTTGCTGATTGTTTTAATTTTTTTCACTTTTGTTTTCTTCGGCTTAAATGGTTTCGGCTGGTAATATATCTGTTTATTTGCCTCATAATTTGTCGTTTGAAGGGCCAAAATAGTTTTTTATTGCTTTTTTGCACTTGAAGGGGGGAGTAAAAATAGGGAGCTTAAGATTTTTTTATGGCTCAGAAGTTTATACAGCAATTTTTTTCGTCTTGTCTGCTCAGTTACCGTTTGATGAATGTTGTTTTTCAATACTTTTATTACATTGACAATTGTTTCTCAGTATCTTTCTTCAAAATCAAACACCTTTGAGAGAAATAAAATCAGTGGCTTTTATCCTATTTTTTCGGCTAATTTTTTGACGTATCGCAAGTGGTGCGAAGCTCCGCTTCACCTCTATGTATGACGTTTGAGTTGTTTTTTTTATGTGTGCTTTCTTCAATACGAAATTGTTTCGAAAAAAAACTTGGAAAATGATTCTGATGATTTTTTGGGGTTGAATAATTTTCTTCTTATTTTTTCTCGGTTCATTGATCCCGCTTTTTTCTGGAATGATTTCACTACTGTTCTAAATCACTTTACGGAAGGTTAATCATAGAAAGTTTTCTAATAAAATTCACTGAAGATTTTGGGCCTACACAAATCTTAAGCAATGTGGATTCTTGCCTTCGTTTTTGCATCGCAAGTGATGCGAAACTCCTTTTTGCCCAAGAGTAAGATGTTTTCATTTTTTCATTCGATATGCACTGATATATTGGTGTTTGAAGTTTGGAGCAAGCTTGAAATGTGTTTTCAAAATTACAATTCTTTATTTAGGCGCAAGAAATGGAAGATTCCAATTACATAATCCCCGTCCACTGGAAATTCCTCACTCTCGACACGGACCAGAGTGGCGACATCAAAGGGGAGGAGATGACGTCATTCATATCGATGTTGAACCCTATCGATATGAATGACGTCATCTCGATATGAATGACGTCATCACCCTATCGATATGAATGATGTTGAACCCTATTTTTTCGGCTAATTTTTTGACGTATCGCAAGTGGTGCGAAGCTCCGCTTCACCTCTATGTATGACGTTTGAGTTGTTTTTTTTATGTGTGCTTTCTTCAATACGAAATTGTTTCGAAAAAAAACTTGGAAAATGATTCTGATGATTTTTTGGGGTTGAATAATTTTCTTCTTATTTTTTCTCGGTTCATTGATCCCGCTTTTTTCTGGAATGATTTCACTACTGTTCTAAATCACTTTACGGAAGGTTAATCATAGAAAGTTTTCTAATAAAATTCACTGAAGATTTTGGGCCTACACAAATCTTAAGCAATGTGGATTCTTGCCTTCGTTTTTGCATCGCAAGTGATGCGAAACTCCTTTTTGCCCAAGAGTAAGATGTTTTCATTTTTTCATTCGATATGCACTGATATATTGGTGTTTGAAGTTTGGAGCAAGCTTGAAATGTGTTTTCAAAATTACAATTCTTTATTTAGGCGCAAGAAATGGAAGATTCCAATTACATAATCCCCGTCCACTGGAAATTCCTCACTCTCGACACGGACCAGAGTGGCGACATCAAAGGGGAGGAGATGACGTCATTCATATCGATGTTGAACCCTATCGAGGGATGCATTGACCAGTTCTTGGAAAACGTGTGTGATTCAGACAAGGACAAGCGAATCGAGAAAACCGAGTGGAATGTGTGTCTCAAGTTATCGCCCGAGGAAGGCGACCTCTCAGTTGAACTGTGATCAAAATATGAATATTAGGCTCTTTTATCAACCTCCCATCCCCTCTCCCCTTCTACACCTGCGAGTTTTATATTGTCTACTTTCGTTTAAGTGTACAAGAGAATTGTCTTGCAGTTTGACATATAAGTTAATTAAAATAATACAAACACATTTTGTCTTCACATAAAACCTCCGTAAATTTGTAATTACTCTGTAAAACTACTCTTGATTAGATCTGTTTGGAGGATAGTTGAAGAGTCCAAAATAATGCTGCATTGTAAAATTTGATGGAAATAAAAAATTTTGTGCCAGTTCCATGTTTGAAACTAGAAAAGTCTTTGCAAATAGTATTTCAAGAGGCTGGAGCCGCCATATGATAAATCGTTATTTATGACTGCCAAATATTTTGGGCCCCTCGAGTTTGAAAAAAACTAGCATCGATGAAAATCAAGAGTTTGAGTTTTCTGTGGAAGCGAACAGATTTGAAAATGAAGTATTTTAAACTAGAACTTCGTAGAAAAAGAAAAGGATTATATGCTCCCGTGGAGGATTTTTAGTCTATTTTTGGCGAGCGTCTGTTTTTGGCTATTTTTAAAACATATGAAAGATTTTGATAGCTGAGCTGAAAATCAACATAGATCTTCTTGCAATTTTTTCTAGAAAGTTTAAAAAGCAAGAATTAATTAACTAAACAGCGTTTTGCTTCCTCTCTAATTTTGAAATTTCATAAAACATTGAACGTTTTTCGGCAATTGCTTGAACAGAGCTGAAAAAGTTTTCGAAACTAATTTTTCCTGTAATTTTGTGTAGTTTTTCTGCCGTTTTTCTTGTTTTAGAGTTTTATGAGAGATTAAGTTTTTTTGCAAGTTTTGGTCAAATTGATTTAACATAAACCTGAAAAAATCTGGAAAAAAAAATGTTTTTATTTTTATCATGCTAGTTTTGACGAAGACGCTGTCAACTTAATTGTTGTAGATAATCTTAAAATTATTCAGCATAACCATTTTCAATGACAAACTGGCTAATAATCTTTCAAACTTATTTAAAGGAAAGTGGGCGCCAAAGTTTTTTTACTGCTGAATCTTGCAGCAAACGACCATGAGAGACAAGTTCATTTGCTTAATTATCTTGACTACATGAACTATTAAAGACAAACATGATTGATAAAACATTTTCCCCTAAAAAGACAGCAATAAAGCCATAATGTAAATTTATTGAACGTTGCTTCTTATTGACTTTTATCCTTATAAATCTTGCGTTAGATCAGTTCGCTTTTTAAAACCTAAATTGCAAGCTCCTGCCTACAAATTATTTACGCGGTTTCTTTCTTTTTGGTTATCTTAAGTAGCTTTCGCTGTTTGGCTTTAGTGGTCCGACTTGTGAAGAAATAGGGAATATTTATGCGTGGGGTGTTTTTTACAAAGAGTTTCGGCGATTGAAATAATAGTTTTTAACGAAAAAATTAAAGATTTTGACAACCCGAGTTCAAATGTAAAAAGATGTTTTTACCTTCGTTTAGTTTTTGTAAACTTCTGAGTGTTCGGAAACTGCCAATTTGATCAAGCCCTAGACTGATTTATGAGCGCAGTGAAGATTTCTTTTTCGATGCTGAAAACGTAACAAAATCTATTTATGCCCGGCGAATTATCTCGCCCTGCAAAAACGTTCCTTAATAATTTAGGCAAGACAATCGGCATGAGTCGACAATTTGTCGAAAGCGACGATTGGTCGCAAGCGACGAATCGCAGCACGATTATTTGCGTATATGGGGATTGATAAAAGATGCGAATTTAAAGCAAAATGTTTTGCCGTGGTTGTGGAGGTAATAAAATCCACCGAGCGATTAAAATTCAATTTAGCACCAGTCTTGAATTGAATACCAATTTGAAATCAATTAACAGAAGAGACAAGAGTAATTGAAGGATAGTAGCATCGAAATCACATTTTTCGATTCATTTGTTTCGATTTCATCTAGCAAATCTGTACACTAATTATTACCAATATGACTTCAAATTTTGTCATAAGCGAGCAAGGCAAACAACAGCTGGTCGGCGATGGCGAATCTGTGCATCTAAACCGTTACAACCAGGTAATTCATGAATCCAGTAAGCAATTGGCGAAGAGACCATGTAAAGCTCCATTTACCACCATCGCAGATGAGTAATTCTGAATATCTGGAGAACATGGTCACAAAAATATTCCATGCAAAAAATTCAAAAAAGGAGTAAAATTTTTGAAAATTTCGACCTGTGTGCCAACTTAAGCTTTAAACATTAGGACTTCTTAACTTTTTTCTGTTTAAAAACCTTAAAATGGCGTAAATGCATAAATGTGGGGAGAAACTGACCACGCCCAGTGGAACAAAAAATAACTCCCCGGAAACGCTATTTTTTTTAAAGACCGGCGTATTTTGGTGGAGGGAGATCAAAAAATTTTCTTGACCTGTTATAAAACTTAAATTTCAGGGATAAACGCGCTACCAAATAGAAAATAAAACCAACATTGACGCCTCCCAGGTTCACTTACGTTGAAAAATTTGGGGATATTAGTCTCGAAACAATTGTTATTTACCTAAGTGCAAGTCACTCGCCAGAATTGTTCAACGGCAAGGAGCAACTGATTCCACCAACCCTCTAAAAAGGACCTTAACCCATTACCGTGACTTTGAAAATCAGCAAGACCCAAAGAGGTGATAATTTCCTCCTTTTTGATTTGATTTGGATGACAAAGACTGAAATTTAATGTTGCCACAGACGAGAGCTTAGAAGCTTTGGAAAGCAACACAGTCCGGCATTCAGACGGTACATTTAAAGCATGTCACGCGTTCACTTAACACTTTTTTACAATTCAAACTATCAAACTGTTAACCATCAAACTGTTTCTAAAGTTTTCATTTTCAAAACAATATTGAATCAATACATTCGGTTCTTTAGACAACTGAAAGAATTCAATCTGGGACTTGGGCCGTCGCGATTTTTGGTAGATTTTGAAAAGGTTTGAATTAACGCATTGCAGAGGAAATTCAATAGAATATCTAGAAAAGGATTCTTCTTTCATTTTGATTAGGCCAAATAGCGCAAAATTAGCCCAAATAGACATCGGATCAGCACCGGTTTATTGAGAAGTTACAAAACACGCTCTAAACAAGTTCTAAAGTCGTTAATTGCTCTGGCACTTATATCTGAGCCCGACTTTGAAATCGGCATGGCTGCCTTATTAGTCCCCTTTATTAGATTTTGTCAATTATTTCGAACTAACTTTGTTTGGAGCCATCCTCCGAGGAGGCATGGGGGTTCGGCAATTCCCTATTTCACTCTAGAAGCAGTTCGGAACGCCAAAATGGAAGACAGAAAACTAATAATTCGGTCGAGAGATGGCAAAGGGTTTTTCAGATGGGGTTGGATGTGCTAACCCTACGTTTCATACGTCGGAGAACACATTTTTGAGAACAACTGCCGGAGAAATAGCCGCCAAGGTGTCAAAAAAGACCAAGCCAGATAAGTTTAACTCCTTGAACATTATAGCAACAAGGATTTTCTCAAGCAACTTAAAAGCCTGCTTTCGATTTTTAGTTTCTTTGTTCTTTATTTGAAGCCTTTCATCTAATGTTTTTTTATCTGATCAAAGCATTTACCCCTACTAAATGCTGCCTTCTACGAAAAGTCGCGTGCTGCGAATAGCCACTTTTTACAAATGCTACAAATGTGCGCTTGCGACGAATTGTCGCCATCCATGCCCCTAATCGGTCTTAGTTTTTTCGTACTAATCAAATTTTCTCACTTGATGCTTGATACTGTCCAAAAATTGTATGATGGTTGTTAAATATTTTTAACAACATCTATTCGATACAGATTAAGGGACAGCTGGAACATTCAGGGCTTTTTACTGACATACAAGCCGTCTTGATTTTAGCTATATTTGTCGCTGCTCGGTGAGTTTTGGTTCCGTCTTTTCCAAAATACATCACTTTGTTTTTAATTGAATTAAGGAAGGCTAATTGATCAAAAATATTGGAGAGAATGACTTGATGCACAAGACATATTTTATTTTTGAATGTCCCACGTTTCGCCCCACACATAGTTCGCCACTCTTAAATTTAGTGGAACATTTCGCCCCTCACACATTTCGCCCCTAATAATTTCACACATTTCGTCCTCGCACGTTTCGCCCCTAACTTATTACACAGTTAATTAACGCCGCTTTCTTAATTTACATTTTAGGGGCGAAATGTACCAGTAGATTTAAGAGGGGCGAAACGTGTGAGTGGCGAAATGTGTGAATACCTTTATTTATCATTGTTGGAGTTGATAGAAGACGAAGAAGCGTGAAAGGAGCTTGATCCAAGAGTCAGTTTGCTAATGGTCAAGGCAATTGTCTCGTGGCTGTTATGTTTTTTATATTCGCGATGTGTAGCATGGCCTCTAACTAATGTTTTTTTGTTCTTTAAACGATCATTAAATTCATTTAAACGATCAATCTTTAGCAAATTTCTATCGACTATTAACTTTTTCGGTCGTTGCAGTCGAAACTGTGGACGCTCGCAATTCTACAAAAACCCGCTTGCTTCTTTTATAATTAACTCAACGTGACATATTGATGGCGCAAAGTACCTACATTTTTTTTGACAGCTTAAAAAATATAGTTGGAGGTGTACGGGTATCGCGTGCTCGGTGTCTTCCTTTATCTGTTTCAATCATTTATCGTACCGACGATCTGTCGATCTGGAAAACATTGAACTCTTTTGAGCTTTTCCAACCCTGGAAGTTTAGCGGCTTAAAATTAAAAAAAAACTGACGCCTAAATTTTCAAAATTGTCAAATTTGGATTTGACACTAAGATATCTCAAGGAAAAATTATATACAAATGAAATGAACTTGGTAGTAATTGTTGACTGAATCAGCATGTTAATGAGAACAGAATGGTGCATCTCAATGAAGCGAAAAAATTGAACTGTCGTCCATTTTTTCTAACGCTCGGCAAAGAGGACTGTTCATCTTTCGTCTAGATGTAACCAGGCGGTTCAACAGACTCGTAGAAGTTCGACCAATAACAGAAAAAAGTTTAAAAACTTCAAAAGTGGAGAAGATTTGGGAAAAATAAGGATTTCAGTTTAAAAAATTGAAAATATTTCTCCCATTTAATCCAGTAGAAGTACCTTTGTAAGACTAGGACACAATTCATTGAAAGAAGTTTTCGTCAACAGAAATTCGTAATGTGTAAGAGCCGGATACAGTTTCAAAATATGATTTGTCTAATCAATATATTAGATCAACAGAACTCAACACAATCTAATCAGTATATTAGATCAACAGGATTAACAGGGTTACCGTTTTTCAAAAAGACCTAAGATGAGAAAAATGTAGAATAGTTTACCATAATGTACAATAGGTTTAACCGAAGTTTGATTTTGAAAGCTTCCATAATTTGAATTTCTTTCTTCTAAATTGAATCATTTAGTCTTGGAGATAAAGGTTAGCTGTTAAATCCAGTGAAGATATAGAAATGTATTCATGATTTTAACAAAGGTTTCAATGCATAGGCGAAATTTTTTTGCCCGCAATTGTTTTTACCTTTAAATTTGACAGAAAATTCTAGAATTATTTACGATAGACAAATAAACGCATATCGGGTGAAGTGAAGCAAATTTTAGAGTCTCAAACTGACTTTCATCAAACTTAATATTAGCAAGAACACGTGTCATGTAATCGGGAGCTAGAGTTTTCCTCATGGAAATCTGTGAAAAATTGACCGTGCTTTTTATAAAAACATTAATAACTTTCGTGAAGCAGCTGACTTTATTTAGTTATTCATCGCCTGCTTCAGGCTTCAAATGTCCGGTGTTCGAATCCCGGGTGGACCTTACTTTTTGCTGTAACTTTTGGTCTTGGTCTTTGTTACTGTCGGCATAGGTTCCGTTCTGTTTTTTTAAGCGATCAGCTTAAACCTCTTAAATATGACTTTTATTCTATATGTTTATAACTTTCCTGAAACGGCTGACTTTATTTAATTATTTTAGTGTGTTTTTATGTTGCTTGTATATCAACAAAGATTTAGTCTAAATTTTTTGCTTAAGAGATTTTTTTTTGGTAAACATCTTTAAGCCGATGTTATATTAGCTTAGTTGCCTTATATTACACTAATTTAGTTTTTAATAAGCGCTGGTGCTTACTTCGCAAGATATGCGGAACAATGAAACTTTTAAGTTTCAAAAAAGTTTAATGGCAAAGTTTTTTTACTCATGGTGTGTCCACGGAAATTGTTTTAGCTTAGATACCACTTCGTAAACCTTTTTTTGTGTTAATTTATTGCTGGTAGTTGTTTCTTTGACAGTTCTTTTTCTCAAAAAGAATTTCATAAGAGACAAACTCATGAAAATGTTTGTATATCTAGTACCTTTTGATATATATTTTTTCAAACCATTTTCCGACTTAGTAGATCGCGACTCATGTTTTTGCTACTTTGCGGTAATTTTTTTTGGTACATTGCAAGTGGTGCGAAGTTCCCGTTCGCCTCCGTGTAATTTTTGAATGATGCAGATTACAATCAGACAACAACTTGAAGCGAGCGTCATACTACCTAGCCTCGTTATTGCAATTCCTTAAAGTCTTTTAAAGTCATTCTTTTAATTGAAGAAATGTCTAATCGTTCTCAGCTAATTGTTTTTTTTCTACTATTTAGGTAATTGTTCCGGCCATTGAAAATGGGGAGAAACTTTGTATTCGGGTGTGTTTTTGTGTTTTTTTTTGTTTTCCTCGCAAAATCAGGTACCACAAATAATCATTGGACTGGTGGGTTTAGTGCTATATCATATTGAAGTTTTTTCAGTCGTGATTCGAGAAAAACCGGTTTGGAGTATTTGATTTTTCGTCTAAATTCGAGCTAGTAAAGCGAGCGACCACGCTTATTTATGCTTGATATAGGGCGTTTACAAAATCTAATTGATGCTTTAAATTCCTCGAGTACATTAGTTTTTGGAGATTTTAAATGCCATTTTGAGAATCAAAAATTTTGGGAATGGAAAATTCTGCAAAAAAAATTTAAAAATTTGTTTTTAACTTTTTATGATTTTGGTTTTCTTGTCATTTTTTTCAAAATCTGTTGTTCTGTTTGTCTATATTGCTATGAGTGTCGATTATGGCAAAAGTTCAGTTTTACGTCAGATTTTTTATCAAACCACGGAGTAAAACTACTTAAATGGAAAAGAACTTCTTTACTTGTTATTTTTTACAGACTATGGTCGAAACATTCTGTGCTACTTGCACAGTAACCGGCTATCCTTATTTTGATTTAGGTGAGGGGCTTTCTTTTTTTTCTTTCTAAGCTTCCCTAACTTCAAAAAAGATTGAAGCAATTTGAGCTTCTCTCTTAATCTTATTTTGTTTTGTTTGCTCGTTTATGTATGCGAAGGTCAACTTTGCTTCCGTGAAAAATATGTCAGAAGCAGGATACACTGCAATTGAGAAATTTCTTCTTGTGATTGACAAACTATTCCATGCAAATTGACTAAATTTATTAAAGAAAATCTGATTTTTTTCCGTACCCTAATTTTGAGGCGGGAAGAAAACTAGATGACCCAAGAGAAAACGAAAACGCCTGTTAAAATAGGCTCAACATCGCAGTCATCCAATGAAAAACAATTTTTTCATTTTTGGCTATTTTTGTCTTTTCTATTTTGTTACGCGTGAAAAGTTTGTCTGAGGTCGCTGAGGTTAGTTTCAATCATGATCTGCATCATTCAGAACAGACGCAGTTAGACAAAAAATATCATACCACATTTTTGTTTATACGTTTCTCTTCAATCTATGTGGCACATCTAATACATGAATTGTTTAATAATCACGTGCTTTGAACAACGATTTGCGTTTTAACATCAATGTTATAAAAAAAGCTCCAAACATGTACACCTGGCGTCTATGTATTAAGACTGCTGATACGTTTTTGCGTATTTATTTGGCTTGATTTAAAAACGTGCCATTTGACTAAACCATCAGTTCTAATTGAAGTTAAAATCCAAACTAACGAAAATATTTAGTATAATAATGGTAAAACTAATCTGCTACTAAGCAATTAAGTCTTAGCAACCAGCTGAACAAAAATTACATTCAAATTGACTGCTCAAGATTTAAATCAGCAGCTTTTGAAAAACTGAAAATCACCAAAAACACGGCGAAAGTAAGTACATTTATCTGCCATTTTGCTACATACATCTGTTTATGGAATTGGGGTTTTTTGGAAGAGGAGTAATATATCACCGGAAAAAAAAGTAAATCAAAGAATTTTTTTTGCTGCATTTTTTTGCTTCAACATAACCAAAGAAGCAAAATTTTTTTAGTCTCACGAACATTTGTGATGCAGTTTGGTTTGAGAAAAAGTTTTTTTTTCAGGTCTATCGGTATTACTCTAATTCTAAGGTTAAGAATCCAGAAATCATGTAGCCAATTAGTGAAAACAGTTTTAATTTTGCCCTGCTTCCTTCTGTTTAGACGTGACAAAAAGAATATTAATTTGTTTCGCCAAAGAATTTGAATCTAGCCCAACACAATGGCGGATGATGACGAGGGTCAAGAGAAGGCCCAGTTGGCAGGAGATCCCACCGAGGTAGGTTCGAATCCCGACAGGGCACCTGGTTTTTAATTTAACTTCCTTCGTAATAATTCATCAATATTATTTTTATAATTTAAATTTGAATTATTTTTTATTGGTATCAAGCAACGTCATTAAACCTTCAGGTCCGTTTGCAGTGGGCCCGAGAAAAATTCTTTATTTATCTTTGTTTCGATTAGCCTTCGTGTAATAATCGAACACGAGATTTTTCAAGTCTTCGGCCTTCAAACGAGTCTGCAACATTAACCTTTAAGCAGGCTTTAAACTGGTCTAAAAAATTTGAGCCTTTCTGTTCTAGGATGTCCGATTCCTGTACTTCGAGGAGTACATTCTGAAAGCCATGAAGTTGAAGGGTGACAAGTGGGCCAAGTTAATCAATGTGGATGAGAACGCACACCTCATCTTCACCTTCTTCGACACAAAGGAACAGGACAAAATTGTGTTCACACTCAATGCCGCAGGTGTGTAAGAAAAAGCAGAAAATTTTTTTAAACGTAACATCTGAATGATTAGACTAAAAATTTTTCTACAATATTTAGTAATATGTAATATTGCACAATTTCCTTAGACAAAATTTTACTTTTTTTAAAGCAAAAGGCAGTGTTGAAGTAGTAAAACAACAAATCAGAGGTTTTTAGTATACGATATTTATGCTCTTTGCTTGTGTCAAATTCTTGAACCTAAAGAGACTGGCATACTTCGAATGAAAAAGCCATAATTTTGGCTTGAACTCAGCTTTAGCGCTGCTTTACTCATTAACAACAGCAGCGGTTCTCATTATAGAGCTGAACTTTATATGTTGGTCTTTTTCTCTCATAAAATATATGATCTTAAGTTTAAGTTTATGACCGATCCTGTGTTTGTGTAGGAGCCCTGCAAGTGTCGCTTGACTGGCCGACGTCCACTAAATCGAAGACGCTGTTCTATCTAAAGCGAAATGTAGCCAATCGGGTGACGAAGGACAACTACAAGACCTCTTTCATCTACGGCGATCTGTCTCTTGTACCCCTCGACCAACTCAACTCATTCGTCGATGATGTAACACTCCCAACTTCCCCATTTTTATCACCTTTGTTTAATTCATAGACTAGCTGGTCCGCAACTTTTTTTTTAGTTGTTTCTGCTGAAAGTGTTCAAAAATAAAGCGTACTTGGCCAAACATATATAATTCAACACTGAAAGCTGGAAAGTTAAGTGGTTCTCAAAGAAGCCACTGCGAATACACACTTCATTTTTGAAGTAATTTTAAGTTACGTCTCTTGACTAAAGGTTTCTGAAACAACGTTTTTTAAACTTTCAATTTTGTTCGGACGACCGGTGACACAACGCGTGAAAAAAGTCATCGGTCGGGATGGTTCGGGTCGAGAAAAAACTGACCGGTTTCCATCCATGTCACGTTGTTCATTTGAATCGGTGCTACAAAAATGTTCGTTTAGAAAAGAAATTAAGTTCGGCTACTGTTACCCATTGGTAAAGTATTTTATGATCGCATTTGTTATTGTTTAGATTGTGCTTCCTCTGATGGCGAATGAGAGAAATCACGACGAGTGGCCGAAAGTGATCTCGGACGACTTAGTGAGACACTGCTACGGGATGAAGAACAAAGTGCATGTTGTGAATGGACTCACCAAAGGCACCACTCTGCTCCCCATGCCAGCTGGAACAGAGCGGATGGAACACTTTGAGCCAGAGTCAGTTCCCTGATTCTTTTTTTTTGTATAATTAATCACAATTTTCTCAAATTAACTAAACATGTTTGTTACGGTATTCGGGGAAGATGACATTTCAAAAAAAAGCAACAAGATTTCTTAGATCTTTTTGAACATTGTCACAAGTTCTTCCAAAACAGCATGGTGTCATCTGCACTAAATTGATAGTCCAACCAAGTTTATAGGAGCAGATATCGACTTGTTCTAAAATTGCTTTAAAAAACTTCCAAGTTTTATTTGAGTTCTTAAGACAGATCGCGAGAATATTTCCAGCTACATTTATATCCCTCATTTTGTGATTTTTGAACTGGAAATTTTCAGGGATCGTCCTGTGGTCCATGCCATCGAGGGCATCATCATCGAATGGACCCACCAGATCCGAGACATCCTGAAGACCGACTCCTCGGCTCCGCTTTTAGCGGACTTGAACCCAAACCCATTCGTGGAAACTAAATTCTGGGAAGAGAAGTCCAAAAACTTGGCTAACATCTACGATCAGGTAAGTTGTGGATATTGAAAAAGTTGCTATTCTTCTACTGTGTTTTTTTTAATTATCCAATTCCTATGAGTGAAAATTGATTTGCCTACGTTAAAGGATTGGTGGGGAGATTCTTTGAACTATGCAGACATTGAGAGCCCATTTTCTGTAATACAAAAAAGAGAAATATCTTTTTAAGATAAAAGAAAAATATTTAAAAAAATTTAGAGTAATTAAGAACTCTGAATTCTTGGAAATCGTCATAACTCAATTTTTGGAAAGTCTTGCTATTTAGTTTTAAAAAATCAAGATATTCAGGCTTCGTTTCTAATCTTGGTCATTATTCTGAATATTGTCAATAAAATGATCTAAACAATCAGCCGCATGTTTTTTCTTCAGCTGCGAGACAAGAAAGTGAGACGGATGATGGAGACTCTGAAGCAGATAGACAGCAGCTACCATCAGGCATTCAAACGCATTTTCAGAGACACAGTTGCAGGTCAGCCCACCAAATTTTTACAAAAAATTCTTAATTAGGTCGGGTGATAGTTTCCCGATGTTTCCAGTTTTTTTTGTCATTTTTATTTAAAAAATTTTCAAATGAGAAGTTAGAACTGTTTTGGTCGATTCGTTTTTTTTGCTTGTGATGCAAAAGGCAACCAAAACATTGTTGAAAAATCTTTTCTTTGATTTTTGGCCGATTGTACTAAGTTATCTAGAAGTTGGGTTATAGCCTGGAAAGTTAAAGAGTTTTTAAATGTTATTAAGGTTACCATGACCTCACAGTTTTAGGTGTCTAGTTTTTTAGCCCTGAATTTTTAACCCTTCGTTCTATTTTCAGCCCTGAGTGAGGCGCAAGACATCTCGCTGCACCTGCGCCCCCTGAAGCGACACTTTGAGGACTTGGAGGGGGTGGAATTCAACGAGTGCAGACCCCTGATGGAGCCGATGATGCGAGTAGTGGCCCTGGTGTGGGTGCACTCCAAGTACTACCGGGCCCCCCAGAGGTTGATTGTGCTGATGCAGGAGATAAACAACCTCATCATCGAAGTGGTAAGTCTTAAACACAATTCAAACAACAAACAAACAAATTTACTATAACAAGACATCACTACATGTAAATAAGATAAACAACAGCAACAATAACTATTGATTTGTCTGATTGAAAAGGTTTACGCCAGAGTTGGATCCAAAGTTGACGAGAGGATAAGATTTCGAAGTATAATTAGAGTGTTTGTCTACGTTTTGGTTCCAACCGCCGAAGGTGAGGAAAAATTTAGGCCTTAAATATGTTTTTGTCTACGCAAAATCAGTTAGCTTAAGCAAACATCAAACGGGGACAAATTATATATCATATGAGACCACTCTTAAGGTAGCACGAAAGTTTTCCGAACAACTATTTAGTGTCGTAAATAACAGTTGCAAATGGTTCGCCAAGAAAGAATGAGCAACTCTTTACAACATTTTAGACAGAGCAGAGTCTCACTATCGGTGTTACAGATAGCTATTAGTAACCGTATTTGGAAGGTTAGTTGAGTTCCAACTAAGTTAATGCTATACCGACGGTTTAAAAGTTTGTGAAAGTTAGAAAAAATTGAAACGAAAACATTTGAAATATTGTTGGTCGGATTTTTGTCCAACAGCAAGTGTAGAAATGCGAACATCTAGCTTCAAAATTTTCATCCAGGTTTCTCGAAGTTCTCATCCAGGTTTCTCGAAATTTTCATCCAGGTTTCTCGAAATGTTAGATATTCAGGAAAAAAGTGCAAATCATAAACAGTATTTGAAATTCAAAGAGCTTCTATGTGATTTATTTTTTTTCTTCGAAAGTTGAAAAATTGTCAATCATTTTATTTTTCGGACAAAAAAAATCGCCAGTCTGGTTGTTATTCTAAGTTTGCTTGACTAAAGAAATTTGGTTTATCGCTCTTGTTTTAAAACTCTTGGCTAGAACGAGCGCGATGATTGTTATATGTTTCAGTGCCGGCTGTTCCTGGATCCTTTCGAAGTGTTCCACACTGAGCCAGAGGAAGCTACTGACCGAATCAAGCAGTGCATAGACAATCTGCACTACTGGAAGGAACTGTTCTTCAAGTACAAGGAGGATGTGAAGGGCATGTTTGAGGAGGGCCAGGAGGTGGAGGCGTGGGACTTCCCCCCTTCGCTTATCTTCAGCAGATTCGATGGATTCACAGAGAGAATCGAAGTTGTCCTGGTGAGTCTACGTTCACTTATTAAGGATCTTAGTAAGTTCCTATTGCGTTACTCAGTTATTTTTGTGACCTTTACCCTTGCGATGAGCAAGGGTCTTGCAATCGGGTACTAGACTTTTACCCTCTTACAAATCATGTTCACAGGTCCCCCTTTGGTACTTTTTAAGAAATCCATTTTTGGCCAACCGACCCTAAAATTTTTCTAAAGGGGCCTTTGGCGCCAATATAAACTAATTTTGAGAGGGAAGCGCGCGCCCAAAAAACGCGATTTTTTGGTCAACATTTTCCAAGAATTGCTTTTAATTTTTGCCTGCAGCGCAGAGCATTTGGGTGGTCAAAATTGGGTTTTTATAGTGATTTAGGAGAACTCACAAAATCAATTTGGTCGGCCTAAAAAAAATCGACAAGATGTTCGAAAATTTTTCGAAAATCCGCTCCCCTCGACAAAATCCTACATCCGCCCCTGATCTCATGCACACTTAGCCTGGAGGTAAGGAAGAAGCCTGGAGCGGTAAAGGTCTTTGGTTCGAATCTGATCAGAACCTGTTTTTTTTTCAAACGGGGAATATTCCGTTTCCAAAATGGTCTGCTTATTATTTGTCTGCTTATATTTCTTTTCGTTAGTTTAGAATTCTTTTGACATGAAAGGTTTCTGCGCAGGTATTTTCTTTTTTGCTACCAATTTTGAGCTTTTCTTGCAATTTTTAATGACAAAAACAATTTTTTGAAGTGTTTTTTTTTTTTATTTTTTTTTCGTTTGATTTTAATCATTGTCATTCATTTTTGTATCGCAAGTGATGCGAAGCTTATCTTCGCCTCAGTGTATCAAGATAGCTTGAACCAGTTCTATTTGTGTATTCGTGAAGTCAGGCTATTTAGATGGGCCGCTTAAAACTACGACTCAGCAATTCTTTACAATTAATAGGTATGTTTCTATAATTCGTACATTGTTTGTTTTTCCTTGTTTCCAGTACCTGTACGAGACAGCGATTGAGTTTACCAAGTTGGAGAAGGTGGAGATAGGGGGTCTGAAGGGCAAGATGCTCACCCAGAATGTCATGCAGATCTTCGAGGAGTTCCAGGAGTGCTTCAAGATATTCACAGAGAACACCTACGACAACCTCGACTACCAACTGCCCGTGAGTAGTGTTTTATCTCAATGAACTAAGGGCTTGTTTTCTTTGACCACACGCCCCCATAAGCATTAATTTTGTAGTTTAATGAGGGGTTTTACAAGGTTAACTAATAATGATAGTTTTTTTGGTTTCCCCGAGTTTATTAAGACTTTTACAACTGTCTGTTGGCTACATTTTAAACATTTTCTGCTAAATAATATAAAAGTATGTTTACTTTCATCGTTCACAAGTGTTCAAATCTTGTTGCTTTTGTTCATGTGTAGGAATTCCACCATGACTTTGAACGGTTCACCACCCGCGTGAATGAATTGGACCGGAGGCTGGGTGACATCGTCTGCCAGGCATTCGACGACTGCATCAACATCGAGAGCTCATTCAAGGTACCTATTGAGACATTCTTGAAGACAAAAGTGGTCACCCACTACCGACCAGATATCATTGCAAAAAATCATAATTCAAAAACCAAAAAAAAGTGAGGGGTCTTAACTGGAGCCAAAACAAGCGGAAGTTTCCGGGGTATCAAATCTCAGATGTTCTGTTCAGGGGCGGATCTGGGATTTTCTCGGGGGGGGGGGGGCGGATTTTTAAAAAAATTTTGAAAATTTTCTCGGCCTTTTTTTAGGTCAACCATAAAAGCAGTAAAAAGTCCCTGTTTTGGTCAAAATTTCAGCGCTGCAGGAAAATTTTTGGAAAAACAGGCCAAAAAAAGGCGTTTTTAGGCACTTTTTAGAAAATTTTGACCAAAAAATTGCATTTTTTCGGCGCGCGCTCGCCCCTGAAAATTAGTTTATATTGGCGCCAAAGGCGCCTTTAGAAAATTTTTAAGGTCAGTCAGCCAAAAGTGGATATCTCAAAATAGTACAAAGGGGAACCCTTTGGGTCGGCATGGGGTCGAATCCCTGAGAGAAAAGCATCCGACCCCCCCCCCCCCCCTAAATCCGCCCCTGGTTCTTTTAACCTTTGGGTACTCGACGCTTAACTTTGAAATAGTTTTGTCACTTTTTATGACGATATTTGAATCCTTATCAACACAAAAGATTAAACTCGTCCATACTCACGCCTTTGGCTTTTTTAGTTTTGTAATTTAAAATTTCAAAATTGCTGAACAATGATTCGTAGAAATCAGTTGCGGAGTTTCTTATGATTTTGGTGACAAATGAATGTGTTGCAGCTCATCGATGTCTTCGGTGGTCTTCTGGACCGGAAGCTGATCAAGAAGGACTTTGAGCCACGACTGCCAGAAATAGTTGAGAGGTTCCACGAGGAGCTGGACAAGGCCAAGGAGGTGTACGATGCCCAGATGAAATCGACCAAGGCCGATGATGCAGATCCACAGGTACGTTGAAGATCCCATTGATGTCTTGTAACTACCACCTAACTAGTTAAATCAAGTTTTGGACCAACTTTGGTAAATGCGGTGTGGTCAAGTGGTTCAGACAATGAATTTAAAAGAGCGATTACTAGCATTTAGGGCCATAGGTTAAAATCCTGCCACCGCCTGATTAATTTAGTCATCAGGGAAGGAAACTGCTTAAGTTCCGTAACGTTTTTTTTTCTTTGTGTAGGTGCACAAGAACATGCCCAGTGTTTCTGGACAGCTGAAATTCTGTAAGGAAATGCGCCAGAGACTGGAAAGACCCCACTCCTTCTTCGAGAACAGAACCAACCCGTAAGTTGAAGGCTTGTTGAAGGCTTCTTTTTTATCTGGATTCCACTATGATAGCTGGGCCATAAATTATAGATCAGTCCCCGAAGAAACTTCTATGCCCTTCAAATTTATCGGAAACGGCGTTTGCATTTCTTCTCTTACGTTTTGAAGTTTTTCTGTGATTCTAATTTGCAATTGATAACAAAACACTTTACTTGATATTGACCTTTCAATTTGGATTGTAACCGGTTCCTTCGTTTTAGTGGCCGACAAGGATTGGAAGCGTAAGCTCAGTGAACTACCAACCAAAAACCCCAATAAACTGACTAATTTCCATTTTGTTAACATTTTCAGTCAAATAAGACAGCACAAGTTCTAATCAATAAGTTTCTACTAACTTTAATGGTTATCTGGTTACATCGCCTCAAAATATATATATTTTTTGAAAACCATTTTGATTTGCATTTTAAATTATGAATTAAGGAGAAGCCAAATTCTTAAGATTTTCTGCTAGCGAAAATTTAAAGTATTCATTAAACCGATATTGACACCGATTGCGATTTCATCAATTTGATGAGATTGTACTTTTCGGCTTCTAATATGATCGAACTTATAATTTTTTATGCTCCTGTTTAAGTGTGTTCGCAAGTGACCGGGCCAAAGAGATGGAGGAGAAATACGAGGAGATGATGGCTCTGCTCTCCAAGTGAGTGAACAAATTGAGCGAAAAAAAAACAATTTCGACAGGCCTCACGCAATATGGCAGGGATCTTTTTCCTTTTCTGCCAACTCACATAAGCATCAGTTTTGTGTTACAACGCATGGTTTTACGCGGTATGCTATGAAGACCAAAGATGTTTGGAGTAGCTTTTCTAGTTCATTTTTTAAAAGGTCATATTTCGAAATAATCAGAGAGTGTGAGCAAAACCTATATCAGTAAATATTCACAAGTTGATTGAAAAAGAACAGAAAAGGCAGATTAGGTCGCATGAACAGTAAATGAAACAATAGCAGAGGTATTTATTAAGATCAAATCAAGTTCACGCGCTATCGATATTCTTATAAGTTCTGAGAGAAATCTCACGATTGGAGGTCAAATTGATTACCTTGAATTATGATTGGAATCTAGTCGACACTGATCTCTGTTTCCACATCTATCACAATATTGGGGAAGTTTGCATCATCGTCATCATTTTGGCGCAAGGTTCCATAGGAAGAGCGAACAAGATAGCTGATATCTCGAGTTGCTATTCATGTCTCTGGTGTTGTGAAAAGTTATTTCCCTGAAATGAAAAATGCGATGCTTGTTCTAATTGTAACTATTTTTCAGCTCTAACTGTGATTCTTATTATTTTTTTTAGATACGAGAAGGACACGTATGCGGCGTGGGTGCAAAAAGTGGACAGCCAGACTGACTTCAACTTGAACAAGCCAGTGCTGCTCCGATCTGAAGAGAACAGACACATCTCTGTCAACATCGACCCACAGGTCAGACATCTCTCTCTCTCTCTCTCTCTCTCTCTCTCTCTCTCTCTCTCTCTCCCTCCTCTCTCTCTCTCTCTCTCTCTCTCTCTCTCTCTCTCTCTCTCTCTCTCTCTCTCTCTCTCTCTCTCTCTCTTTCTCTCTCTCTCTCTCTCTCATCCGGGTATTCTAAGTTCAACGAGAAGGTTTTTCTGAGCAACCTCATCCTGAAAACGTTTTAGTAAGGAGGATCTTAAGTTGATTTTTTGTTGGAATTTCAGCCAATCAGAATCGAGTATTTCACACGCAGAGCTAAGCAGCTTCGATTCAAATTAAATAGCGGGCGAAGGGTACCGTACTGATTTAAGTTATCTGGACATACTGAACAAAACTTGAAAATTTAAACGCGTTTTTCTCAAACTGGGTTGAGATTAGACAAAGTGATGAGAACGAAATTTGCTTAGAACTTTACCTTATAAAACCTTGTTCAGCTGTATAAGACGCTCACTTTGATGTAATTTGCTCATCAATTGACTCATTAGGTCTAGAGTAATTTTTGATCACTAAAGAAACCAAAATGACTAATTTTGGGGTAGAGTTTTCGTTCAAATAAACTTTGCAAAATAAATTGCATCGGAATAATTCTGTTGAAATTTTGAGAAAGTTTTGTATTCATCATTTTTTGCCTAATGTCAACTCAACGATCAAACTTAAGATTTTTGCTTCTGTGTTTTTTTAATTGAGATTTTCAAAATTGGATGGAATATGTAAATTTTGACAGAACCTTGAATAATCCGGCTGCCCTGTAAAGTATCTGTAGCAATTTTGTTTTTATCCAACTCAAACCTTTGACCTAACACGCAATGTGATGTAAAAGAAGACTTATTTATCATCTAGTATTAAGTTTTTCGGAACAACTTAATTGCCTTTAATCAATTTCAATTTTTTTTTGCCGCACACGCTCCCAGTTAAAAATTGAGCCGTTTTTAATCGCACGTACATAACAAAAAATGGTCAGAATGTTTCTTAAGTTTTAATAGAAGAATTGATGTATCCATTATTTTTTGTTTTAATATTTTTGGAAAGTTCCAAAATTTGTCTGTGCGTAAATTTGATTTTTTTCGAGCTATTTTTTTTGGGTTTTTTTTTGAAATCAATAAAATTTTTATTTGCTAAAAGGAAGTCAATTTTACTCTTCAATAATAAAAATACAAATGGCGCAAAAAATGTGAATATTTTAGTTTCAGAATTTGTTTTTGAAGTTTTGTTTTTCCCAGTGGAATAAAATGTTTACCTATTGATCCAGCTTCCTCAAATTGGGTTAATTTTATCAAAAACTGTCAATTTAAAAGAGTCTTTGAATTCAAAGAGCTCTAGAATCGTCTGTGTTTTGACTCTCCAAGGGTTTCAAGTTTTATATATAGTTTTTTATTGGTTTTCTTTTGGTTATGTTTTCAATTTTGAGCTCAGGGTATCAATGTTTTTCAGATATTCATCAAAAATTTATGATAATATACAATTGAAAAGTTAATATTGGACTGAATAAAAAAGCAGGCAAGCATAGTTATTGCGCCAATCTATTCCGCAAGTCGTAACAATTAAAATAAAGGATAAAATTTAGGAACCACCCATCTTTGAGTGAGGGGCAATAAATCAATCACACTTGTATCAACAAAAAAGGTTACAGGTCTCTAAGTATAGATGCAAATTTTGTTAACTTTGCAATAGGTAAGGTGCTTATAAGCGGTTACTATTCTTTTTCCCGTACATAACTTCGTTCACAGAATTTGCACGTGAAAATAATACAATTTCTTACTTAATTTGCTATAAGTTCAAATTCCAGTAGCATTTTGCTAACTTGCGCTGTGGTAAGACACATTCTTAAAACGACAAAGCCCAGCAGTGGTTCGATTCCATTCGAGCCCTGTTCTTCTTGCAACCCTAAATTTCATACTGAAGTTTATTTGCTTATTTTTGTCGGTTTATTTCCCGTAGAAAGGAATGTTTTGAAAGTTTTGCTTATTTCGGCCTTCAAAAATTTTCTTGTAGTTTTTTCATGGTATAGGTTATGTTGTTCCAGGTTTTTTTTGGCTTTTGCAGTTTTTTGATTTTCACCTAAAATAGGCTTTTTGAAGTTTTTTTTTTCATTTTTTTTTTGGTTTTTCTTCATTTGCTTCATTCGACATTCATTTTGCATCACAAGTAGTGCAAAGCTCAGCTTTATCTGTCAAAAGTTTGTGCTGAAGTCTAATTCATGACAATAATTATATTTCCTCATATGTATCACAGCCATGAAAAATAATGGTAAAATTTGGCTTTTTAAATTACTGGATTTTTAAAGACTTGTCAATTCGATCAAAAATTTTTGCCGTTTTTTCAAGATTGCGATCATTTTCCTTAGGCTTCTACGGTGAGATACTTATACGTGTCATCTATCATTTTTGTTACATTGCGACAAACATTTTCTATAATTCCTGAGACGAATTCAACAAATTTCATTTCAGTTGATGAGAATCACCTTTTTAGTTCCTTGGTTCATATTTAATTTGCATTTGACCCTCTGAATTCCAAGAAACCATTCAGAAAACATCATTAGATGCAGTTCAAGTTTAATCCTTGTATCATAATTTTTTTCTGACATTGTTGTTGTTTGTTCAGCTGATTGCGGTGATGCGTGAAGTGAAGTACCTGAAGATGCAGGAACGAGAGGACATTCCAGAGAAGTCGCTCAACTTCTACGAAGAGACGGATAAGTACATCAAGTACCTGCAGAACCTGGACGTCACTGTGAAGTGGTACAACAAGATTCTAGACACACAGGAGACACATGAGCAGCCTCTCATTGAAGATGAGCTGGCAACTATTGATGCCCAGCTGAAGAAAGCGGAGGACCAGTTGACCTGGGTTGCACCCGGTTAGTTTTTAAAAAACTTTTGAGTCCTTTTTCCTTACGCAAGCTTATTGTGTAGGTAGACATGGCTCCAAACTACAAAAAAAACTAAAAACTGCCTGAAAACTTTAGAAAAAAAACTTATTACCAATTCAAGCTACAATTGCTAGAAATTGCTTGAATTAAAAAAAAAAACACTTAACCCCACCCCTACAAAAAACTTTCACGCAGCTTGATTGACCAACTTGAGTTACTTTTGCGAAATGTGGTTGAATTTGAAGCTCGACTTGACTTGGGGGTCGATACCTCTAGTTGTTTGATGTGGTTGGCAATGCTGCCTATGGCCATATCGCCACCCCATTCAACTGGTATGCTTATTGTTATTGTATGTACTTGTTTCGATGTTCTTTTTTGTACGCGCTCGTTATTTGTTATCAATGTAATTTTGGTTAAATGTAATTTTATGATTTCTATGCGTAATTATTCATTTTTTATAATACCGTTTTTACCCTAGCGATAAGCAAGGGTATTGGAACCGTATATTTTTGCTGTCAAAATAGTTTTTGCTTCTTTTATTGGAATATTAGAAATTGTTCTATATTGATATTGTTTTTTTTCAGGTCTCTGGGAGTACATCGAGCAGACACGTGACATGATTCACGACCTCGAAAAGCGTCTTCAGAAGTCGAAGGACAACATAGCCGACATGCAGAAGATAATGTCGGTCTGGGCTAAGAGTCCCCTCTTCGAGCGAAAGGAGGGCAAGGTTGACTCCCTATTGGATATCCATGGTCGCGAAAACGCCCTCAAAGCTAAGGCTGACTTGATCAAACAAGACGGAGAGAAGATCCACGCTCTAGTGGCCGAAAATAAAGAGCTGCTCAAAGTGCATAATGACAAGGGCAATGACTGGATGGCGTATGTTGACGTGGTCGACGCTTTGGTCGTCAAGGGATTCTTCGACTGCATGAACACCAGTTTGGACTACTTCCTCGACAATTTGGGTAAATCAATCAAATCACTTGAAATTGTTTAAATAGCTGGATTGTTAACTAACTATTCCCTTTTTTGCAAAAGAGGGAAATTCGTTTTAAGGTCCAAAATTTGTATATGTTAATAGTCGAATCGGATCCTGATATTTTTACTGAATGCTTTAATGAAGATCTGAGTTAATCTTCAGTCTTTTAATTTGAAAATCAAAGGCATATTGAAACTGTGAATTAAAAGCTAAATTCACCGCGGAATATTTCCACTTCTATATTCTTGTTTTCTAGTCAAAATAAACGTTTCGAATTACAGGCTAATGTGGCGAGATATCTCAGAGAATTGAGAGAATTAAGGATATTATTATGTCAAATGGATGTGATTTTTTTTTGTGTTTGTAATAGACAGTGGGAAGAATATCGCGGTGCTGTTTGAGATCCAGCTGGAGCTGACCAGACAGGAGATGTTGTTCAAGCCCTCTCTGGACAGTGACATGGAGACTGAACAAGTGTCCTCAATTGACCCTAAGACATTCTACGAATTGGTCGAGAGTCTACTAAATGATGTGTTCAGGTGGGTAATATAAGTCATTTTGAGTCAAGAATCTTTTTTCAGGCCGTAGGTTTGAAACCTTTTTGGTATTTTACAAATATTTACGCCAGCGAGCTTGCGCGTGTAGTTGTATACCGTCAGTCCACATTTTTTTTCTAGCAAACTCGCAATATTAATTGCAACGTTTTTGTGCATACTATATCAAAAAATAGGGTTCGAATGACATGTTTCATAGACGCCCTGAGCTGAAACATGATAAGTTATTCAAGCTGCAATCTTTTTCTGTTGGTGGGGGGGATTTGATAAATGACAATGTACTTTTAATGTATTTTCTTGCCTTTTCTTATTTTGCCTTGAGAGTTACTTTTTGCCGTTGTTTTTTATGCTTGCGAAGTGCAGCTTGGCATCTGCGTTAGACCTGTGATGATAACTTTTTTGTGTTAATTTAACTTATTGATAAGTTCATGTAAGTGCGAGAATAAATGTGTTGTAAGCGGGTTCTGCCTTTTTTAGTCAACCAATCCGGAGGCCTAACCCGAAGGTTATTTATTTAGGTTGACAAGACAAGAGCGCATATGTATCCAGCGCCCACTAAGCTATGACTTAATTGCGAGAGCTCACCTTGCAAATTGCAGCGCACGTGCGATTTCAACCAGCAATTATTTAATTGCTGGTTCAAATCACTACCGGAGCACCACAATGCCCTTTTTCCCATTAGAAATTTTGTTCGCATAATTCGCCCGGGTGAAAAATAGGTTTTTCAACTTGATTTATATTGAATCTAATTTATGGTGCTCAGTTGATGTAGAGGTAACATCTGAGACTTTTCCGCGCTGTGTTTATATTGCAAATCTTTATCATCGTTGCATAGTACAAATTTATTTTTTGCTGCGACGATTAAAAATGAGGAGGAACTTTGTATTTGGGTGTGTTTTAGTTTTTTATTGTTACGACTATTTGCTAAATGTGGAGGAACTTTGTATTGGTGTTTGTTGTTGTTGTTTTTGTTTACCACAAATAATCATCGGTCCGGGTTGTGTGATATATCATCTTGAAGCTCTTTTAGTCTTGATTCGAACGACTTTTAAAACTCATCAAAATTTTGTACCAGTGCTGAGAAGAACGGCTTGAAATTTTCGATTTTTCGTCCAATTTCAACCTAATAAAACGAACAAATAATGGGATGTCACTTAGGCTTAAAAAATTTCCATTAGAAAACTGATTTTGAAATCTTTATCTGGCACTTCCTAACAAAGAAAGTTTTCAAAAAACAATAGAAAAATAGAAAACATTTTCAGTTTTTTTTTCTTATTTTCTTTGTTTAATTTTCTTTTTTTGAGAATAACTGTTGTCGATTTTGCCTAATTTACTAAATTTTTACGCGTGTGGAAATTTATTCATCACACCACGCACAAACAACGGTAAATGTTAGTAAATTAGGCATAATCGACAACAGTTCTCTTCGACAAAAAAAGGAAAAACAAAACATGAAAAAAAAAATTCACTAATTTGAAGAACTAATTATTATGAAGAATTTGTATTTATTTTTTTTATGAATATGATCGGAACATTTTGCGCTTCTTGCATAATAACCGGCTATCCTTGTTTTTTTTAAATTTTCCATTCAAAATCAGATATCACAAATAATAATTGGAATGGGTTGAGTGATTCATCATGTTAAAGCTCAGGTTAAATCGAACGAGATCATTGAAAATTGCCCCAGTGTCGAGAAAACATGGTGTGAATTTTTTTGATTTTTAGTCGGTCGATTTTCGAGCAAGTAAAGCGACCGAGTAACGTTCGTTATATATGAAAATTATCAATTTGGGCTGAAAAAACTTGAGTCTAGTAAAGGAAGACTAGTTGTGACAGCTACATTTAGACCTTCTCTGGCATCAAAAATTTTTCTAAAAAGAATTTAAACTTCTTTGTGCAAAAAATTGAAAAAAAAATGAAACAATTTTTGAAAACAAATTTTCATTTTTTGTTTGTTTGTTCTTTGAAGGCAATAGGTTGTCCTTGTTAACTGGTTGTCCTTGTTAAATTTGTGCGTCTGTTGTAGCCTGACTAAGCTGATCAAGAGGCTGAGCATGACTAATGACCAAGAGGATTACTTCTCCCAAACTACAAACGAGGACGAACTCATCGAGAAACGACAGGAAATCGACGACAAAGTTCAAGGTTACTAAATTGTATAAAATACTGCCACATTCTTTTAAAGAACGCTATAGTTTTTGGCGCAAAATGCTCTCTGTTTAACAATCCATCTAGACTTCAAAAACTACTTTGGTTCTAGAAAAAATGCATGTTTTCAAAATAAGCAAAAAAGTTAAATACGTTTTTTATTAAAACTTGTAAATCATGGTTCTTTTTTCATGAACTTGTATGCTTCTTTTTTACCCGTCCTCTTTGATTTAAAAAAAATTCTTGACTTTCTACGTCCAAAAAGTTTGAATTTTGAGGCCAAAATGAACGAAATTCGGTTGATTAACTTATTGTAGATTATAAGAAAGACCAAATAATACCAACAATTAAAAAAAAACTTTATTTTTAGCGAAATTATTGGCGATGTCTTTTTCGGTTAGCAAATCTGAATGAAGGTGATTAACCTAAAACTGCTCAATGTGGCCCAAGAAGTTTATATTTTTACTTATTTCAGCGCTTGAAAAGTGTGTCAAAAAGTCTAATCAAAATAAAAAGCAGTTTTTTGATCGATTAAATTGCTCAAGGACACGGATGTTGCCAACAATTTGGCATCAACTATATAAATGAAATTTTAAACTCTTTTTCAGCCGGAGCAAACAAAGCGATCGAGTACCGCGCCTCATTCGAGAACCTGGCTTACCTCTGGACAGACGACAGGAAAGAGTTCATGGAACAGTTCGTGCGATACGGTCACGTGCTCACTCCAGAAGAGATCGAGCAGTACGCGGAGACTGAAGTGCCGGAAACTCCGCCCACTCTGGAACAGTTCAAAGAGCAGATTGATGGGTATGAGAAGACATACGCGGACATTGAGAGCATGAGTGCAAGCCAAGTGAGTGTTTCAGTTTTTTTTTGGAAAAGTTAATTCTTGAGTCATTTCGACTTAATGATCTTGTATGCTTTCTAATCTTTCTATTTCATGCGAAGCTTTTTCTCGTCTTGTTAGATTTGATTTTGTAGTTTAGAGAGGGAAACGTTTTGACAGACTTAACGAATGCGCGAAAATTTTCAGCCAATCAACGTCCTCTAAACAGTCGCAATCGAATTGATTTTCCTGATTATTTTTTTGAAGTTTTGAAAGGAGAATTATAATTGATTAACAAAATTTTTGGGCGTCTCTTTCTTCTGGCACGAGGGACCCACCCGTCAAACCATAAAATCATTTTTAATGCCATGAAAAAGAGGCTTGTATTTAAGAAAAAGAATAGTAAAGGATACAAGATCATTAAACCTGCCCCCACCCCTCGTCCACAACACATTTTCCATTATCATATTCCTTTGCATGCTATTATGGCTAAATGTGGGAGTTCTCAATTGTTCAACCTGCAAATTTTCATAACATCTTGTCAAAGTTAAATTAGTTACGAAATTCAAACGATGTCTAGATGTATTTGAAAAAAGCCGCCCACATTTTCATACGGGTCGGTATTTTACTAATTGTAGACACCGTTTTGAATTTCTATTTAATTTTTGTTTTGAAGAAGGAGGTTCGATCGTTCACTTGATTAATACAGAGGAAAAGTATTCACACGGGCTCCAGTTTTCACCATAATCGAATGTTATAAATTTGTTTTTGCTGCCGTAGGTGTTCGACAACTGGCTGAGGATAGACTCGAAGCCGTTCAAACAGGCACTCCTGAATGAGATCAAAAAGTGGAGCTACATGCTCAAGCAACACCTCATCGACAACGTCACCAACAGGTGTGTAACTTATTGCAAATTTAGTTAAATTGCCAAGGGACCAAGTTAACATCCTCCCCCCTAGACACGTTTAGGGGGGAGGATGTTAACTTGGTTCTAAGTTGGGAATTTTCAGCCAATCAGAATCGAGCATTTTACATGCAGCGCTTCGCAAATTTAACTTGATTTAAGCGCTGGGGTGGAGGATCTTAACTTGGTCTATTAGTCTATTAGGGGGGAGGAGGATGTTAACTTGATCCTTGCCAAGTTGTTGGCAATATCGGAGACTTCGGACATACTACTCGTTAATAATCTTTTATGTTAATTATGTTTTTTTGACATTTTCTACGTATCAAAAATTGGTTCTCGATGTCAAAGTGAAATTGAACTGTATCAGATCAACTAACTTAGTTCAGATCCATTAACCTAAAAGGATGCTACCAACGATAAAATCAAGATAATTGCATTAACTTACTGTTAAAAGCAATATGTTTTTGTTGTTGTTTAGCCTGGAGAGTTTGAAGGAGTTCATCTCGTATGCGAACAGTGGGCTGGAGAAGGAGATCCCGGAAGGAGACTACCACGGACTAGTGGAGTGCATGGCATACCTCATGAAGGTCAAACAACGACAGGCCGCCACTGGTCAGTCTACAATTATTGCACTACTCTATGCACTATAAGCACTCTCATTTTACATAACAAAAAATAACCAATTGATTGTTCAATGCATAAATAGTTATAACTGAAAAAAGGTTTCAGAGTTCATAACGAATCTACAATGATGGCATAAATGATTTTGCGCTCTAAAATTTAAAAAAGCTAACGGAAATGAGGAACATTTTTTAAACTTTTTAAATGTATCTTAGTGTTGTTTTTAGTGCGTGGTGTGTTTTGAGAACTCGTAAAATTTTAGTGAGTGATCGACTACAGTTTTCTGTAAGAATGAAATAAAAACAAAAATGAAAAACAAATGAATTTTTTTTTCTAATTTTTTTGCACAATAATTTCAATTTTTTTTAGAAATTTTTTTTTGGCAATCAAGCGCTATATGAAACATCAAAAAGTAGTTTTATTTATAGTAAAATCAGTTTTTTAGCCTAAAAGTCTAAAAAAGTAAATTTCCATATAAAGAGCGTTACTCGATTGTGTTTGACTAAATCTCAAAAACTCCAAACCGTTTTTTCTCAACACTGGGACAATTTCCAACCACGACTGAAAGGCTTTAATATGATATATCACTTGGCCTATTCTGACTATTACTTGTGGAACTTGATTTTGCGTGGAAAACAAAAAAATAAAACAGCCGAATGCTAAGTTGCTCCTGTTTTCAATGGTCAGAACAATAATAAATAATATTTTAATTGACTCTTAAGGTGGAGTAAAGTGGAGTAATATAAAATAAATCGGGTGATCAACCTAATATCCTCCCCACAATACATATTAGTTCTAGAAATGGGAATTAAAGCCAATCAGAATCGAGCATTTTTTGTTGCGTTTTAGACACAATGTTTGAGCCGATCAAGGAGAAGATAGAACTGCTGGAGTCCTATGGTCAGGAAATGAGTGACGAAGTGCATCAGAGACTGGAGGAGTTGCCGGAACAGTGGAACAACACGAAGAAGATCGCATTCACTGTCAAACAGAATGTCGCCCCTCTCCAGGCCGACGAGGTAAGAACAGGCCGAAACAATACGATTGCGTGTAACAATACCTAAAATTAACTTATCCGAAACAATAAAATGGTTGGAGCGCGACGCTGATCGGTCAATTAAGAGATATCCGTGTCTTAGAAAGAAAAATTTTTCTTTGATATAAAAAAAAGTAAAATTTGACCAATCGGCGCTGAATAGAATTAATTTTTTTTCTCTTGCAAAAGTTAGTGTTCCTGTTAAAAATAAGTAAGACCTGCAAAACTTCTTAATTATTACTCTATAGTTCATTGATTGGGTCTGAAAACGTCCAGGCGAATGCTTTGAGCCTTAGTACGAGGATAATTAAGCCAAAAGTAGTCTTTGTAAAGTCTCTTCCTAAGAGTCAATGATCTTTAAGACTAATTACCACTACAAGAGCTCCAGAATGCGAGGCTTAAATAACTCTGAGACAGTAGCGGGTTTGGGGAGGGGGGAGCGAATGCTCTCCCCTCAGGGATTTGCCCCCTGACCAAGCATCATTTTCAAACGTCTAGTTGGCAAAAGAGCATCCTTTTCTTGAATTTTTTTCTGCATGATTCATTGTCTACTAGTTTTTAAGTGATACAAATTATCATAAACTACTCAATTGGCATTGAAGTTGACATTGCAATCGTTTGCTTATCTTGTTTTTCCCAGGTCGCCAACATCAGACGCAAGTGCACCTCATTCGAAGTGCAACAGCATGAGTTCCGCGAGGAGTTCAGACAGACAGCACCCTTCGCTTACACAACTCCAGACCCATACGAACAACTGGACGAGCAACACCTCAAAATATCCCAGCTGGAGGATGATATGGCTGCTCTGTACAAATCAGCCGGACTATTTGAGGTCAGTTTAGAAGTTATTCGTGACATTAAGAAAATTTAACAAAAAAAAATTGGTTGTTCTGTGATGATACGAGGAGGGGTAGGGTGGGGGGGGGGGGGGGGGGGGGGGAACATTAAAGATAGGTTCGTCCACGAATCTTTAGTTCTTCAGTTATTATATATGAAAGTATAGTTGAATCTTTGTATATTGTATATCTGTTTTGTGAAGGTGAATGTGCCGGAGTACCGTCAGTTGAAACAGTGTCGGAAAGAGACGAGGATGTTGAAGAACTGTTGGGACCTGAGGGACCTGATCACGAGTAGCTTCGAGGAGTGGAACAGCACCAGGTGGACGGAGATCAACGTCGAGTCCATGGACATGGAGTGCAAGAAGTTCGCCAAGGAGATCAGAAGTAAGTGCAGAAACTTATGAGAATTGATTCTAAATTACTTTCAATTTTAATTAATTTACCATTTTAAATTGCGATTTTAAATTAATTTCAATGTAATTCTTAAATAAAGATCTATGAACTGACATAACAATAAAATTGACTCTAATTTTCTTAAATAAAATTTGATTTAATTTTTAATGTATGATCTTTCAACTAACTAAGCAAGCCTGCAATATTGAAAGCACAGACATATTTAATTATTATGTTTTTGGTTATAACCACTTGATTTCAATCTAGTTTTTTGAACTTATTCTAGTTTTTTGACATCTAGTTTTTTGAACTTATTTTCCTAATTTAATAACTAATCTTAGGTGCTGTAAACAGCAGAAACTTTAATTCTGGGATGAATAACCAAAATTAAAGGGTTGTTTTTCTACTAGAATTAGTCAAAAATTTTAGCTCAGAATACAATTTTTCAGCTTTTCACCAAACCGCTGTCTTTGCTTTCAAATTTTGATCTAAATAAATTGAAACAAATTAAAATAATTCAAATAGTTTTAATAAATTCAAAAAATATCATTTACATATCTCTGTAATTGTTATTTGTTTTCTGACATTTGTTGTTTGTTGTTATTTGTTTTCAGCGTTTCACAGAAACATTGCGCCATTTTTTGCTAGGTCTGGACAAAGAATGCCGCGCTTGGGATGTCTACACTGGAATGGAAAATGCCGTGAAAAACTTAATGACGTCACTGCGAGCCGTAGGAGAGCTTCAGAACCCGGCAATCCGAGACCGCCACTGGAACGAACTTATGCAAGCCACAGGAGTCAAGATCGTCATGTCCAGTGACACTACATTCCTTGACCTTTTGAACTTGAACTTGCATAATTACGAAGACGAGGTCAAAGGAATTGTGGACAAATCAGTCAAAGAAGGCTCAATGGAAAAAGTGCTTCGAGAGCTGGACAGAACTTGGACTTCTATGGAGTTCGAATACGACAAACATCCGAGGACAGAAGTACCCCTGGTCAAAGCCAGCGAGGAGTTAATTGAGACTCTTGAGGACAATCAAGTCCAACTTCAAAACATGATGTCATCCAAATACATCGCGCACTTCCTGGAAGAAGTGTCAGAGTGGACCAAGAAGCTATCGACTGCAGACTCTGTGATCCAGATCTTTGTCGGAGTCCAAAAAACTTGGTCGTACCTTGAGAGTATCTTCATCGGATCCGAGGACATCAGACGACAGCTTCCCGAAGACTCGGTTCGTTTCGACGGTATCGACAAAGACTTCAAAGAGATCCTATACGAAACGGAAAAGACGCCGAATGTAATTGAAGCGACAAACAAAGAGGGCTTGTATGACAGGCTTGAGGTTCTACAGAGTGGGTTGGCTCTTTGTGAAAAGGCGTTGGCAGAATACCTCGAAACGAAACGTCTGGCGTTCCCACGGTTCTACTTTGTATCGAGTGCCGACTTGCTGAACATTCTATCAAACGGAAACTATCCAGAGAAAGTGGCGCCGCATTTGTCCAAACTGTTTGACAGTTTGTGCAACTTGCAGTTCAAAGAAGGCGATAACAAGAGCGCTAAAACTATGTTTGCAAATGACGGCGAGACAGTGGATATGGACGAAATAATCGACTGCAGCGGACAAGTTGAAGACTGGTTAAACAGAGTGCAAGATCGCATGCAAGAAACGGTCAGAAAATCAATCGGAGACGCCACCGCTGCTTATGAAGACCAACCACGTGAGCAATGGCTGTTCGATTGGCCCGCGCAAGCCGCACTGGCAACATGCCAAATATGGTGGGTCACTGAAGTCGGCTATGCGTTTGCGAAGTTGGAAGAAGGCTACGAAAATGCGATGAAAGATTACAACAAAAAGCAAATTAGTAATCTAAATGCACTAATTATGTTGCTAATTGGAAAACTGAGCTCAGGTGATCGTCAAAAGATTATGACCATTTGTACGATTAATGTACACGAGCGAGATGTGATTCTGAAGCTGATCGCAAACAAGATTGACAACTCGCAGGCTTTCTTGTGGCTGTCACAGTTGAGACACAGATGGGACGAGGAACAGAAGCACTGCTTCGCCAATATCTGCGATGCTCAGTTCAAGTCAGTATACATTTCGTTGCTGATTAGTTATTAGTTAACCCCGACGATACCCTCTAATCAAAAAATAGCCATATAAAATTTGGCCTTCACCAAAAAATTGTTGTCTCATGTATCAAAAAAGGCCTTCCTGTTGAGGTTTTTAGCAAAAAAGGACGTTAGTGAGGCCTTTGTCCTCTTCAAAATCATAGTATATAGTATATTGTCCAAAAATGTACCTGTTGATTTGATTAAAAAAAGTTGTGGTAGAGAAATCTTTCTGTGATAATATTAATTTCTCAGCTGCCCTCATATGGGCCAAGTTTGCTATTATTTTGAGATACTTTGCTGCAAATAAATCGTACCCAAAAATTTTTCCGAGACATTATGAAAAAAGTATTTCAATATCCTTTTGCTTTTGAATGCAATTTCCTTGCAACACCTGAAAATAAGTGTTGTTTATTGTGGTTTAGATACTCGTACGAATACCTCGGCAACACCCCTCGTCTGGTCATCACACCCCTGACAGACAGGTGTTACATCACCCTCACCCAGTCCCTCCATCTGATTATGGGTGGGGCACCCGCAGGACCCGCCGGAACAGGTAAATAATGAAGATTGCTGCAAAGTTTTCTTGTTCTTAATGTCAATGTATGGAAGGGCGACAATTCTAAACCAGCGACATTTCTAACAACGCGCGAGAGGAATACTGCGCGTGAATGAGTGTTCCCGCTTAATCTACTGTTACGAATTGTCGCTTGTTACTAGTTTTGCGCTATTACGAATTGTTGCCCGTTACGAATTGTCGCCTTTCGCCAATTTAGGGCGAAAAAAGTTATAATCGAGAGTTTTGTCTTCTAACTGTTCGGTAACCTGAAAATTGTCCAAAAATAATAATGGAAAGAAAGATTTTATATATATATATATATATTTTGGTGTTCTTAAGTCATTATAATGAGGTACAGCATAAATGATACGAAAACTTATTAAACAAAAGTGACTATTTCTTGCAGCGTATCATTATTAAGCAATATCGCAGACCGATTTTCCTGGAAATCAGATTTTGATGTAAAATGAGAGTGTTACGACCATAGTCTTTAAAATAAATACATTTTTTTTCAAATTAGTGTCAAATTAGTGTGGTGTGATAAAAAAAATTGAACAAAAAAATAGAAATTAGGCAAATGCGACAGTTATAGTCAAATGTGTCAATTGAAAAACTGTTTTTGTAAAAAAAATGACAATAAAAAGATTTTTTTTTGTTTTGGATTCACAAAATGGCGCTAAAACACTCCAACAACTAATTTAATTGAGTAAAACTACGTTTTCACGGCTTAATTTTAGTTTAAGTAAGCTATTGTAAGCCTGCACGCTCACCTTATTAGCTCAAAATTAGACCAAAAATTTAAAATTTCCAACCGAGTTTTCTCGACACTGAAGTTTCTTAATGTCTTTCAAATCACGGAAAGGGTTTTTATATGATATAACACTCGACTCATTCCAACGATTATTTGTGGTACCCGATTTTGCGTGAAAAATTTAAGAAAAAAAAGAAAAACTAAAACAACCGAATACAAAATTCCTCTACATTTTTTCAACTAGTCGGAACAATAATGGACAACTCCCAATATTTAAAGAAAGCAACAATTCACAGCAGTACATGAATATTTGAACAAACCTTTTTATTAACAACCTAGATCTATGGCAGATTCGGGGCGGAGCATGCGATTGCTACTTGCCAATAACAAGCTATGAACTAAAATAATCACATAAACAATTGATCCGCCTGAATGCATCTGACTATTTTGTTCTATTAAGTTTTAATGAACATAGTGAAAACATTTATAATTTTCCTAGTTTTTTTAAAGGAAAAGTTCTAAAAGTTGTTCAGACTCAAACTTAAGTTTTTTTACAGTTGGATTTAACATTTTTACTCTTGCGATCAGCAGGGGTGGTCCAATCGGGGCTTTTTTTCCCGTAAATAACTTGTTCACAGAATGGTCAAAATAAGAAATGGTAAATTAACTCTTGTACCAATTAAACTAGGCTGTTCTTGGTCCTTTTTGTTGGAAATACTGCACAGACATTATTTGAGCACAATAGATTTTTAAATATCCGTCCTATTTTTAAATTTGGTCGTAATTTAACCAGTCAATTTAGTAATATTTAGTAAACTTATAATAGTGTCGGCTTTGTGCGCTTCGGCTTGTTTTATGTCGGCTTAGTGGCCTCATATTGCATCTTTTGATAAGCGGAAAAGTTTTATATGTGCATGTTTGTGCGTGAATTGAGGGAGAGGGGGACTTAAAAACTTCTTGGTTTTCAAGTCCTTTTTGAATGTTTTTTTTTCGGCTTAAAGGAGTTCTGTTCAGGTGTTTTCGACTTTGTTATTGCTTGGATTTGTTTTTCCGGTGCCACTTTCACAATTTTGTGTTTTCTTTTTTTTCAAAATTAGCTCTCTTGGTTTTGATAGATCTAATGAGTTTTCGAGAATTTTCCGATTTTTTCCGACTTAGCGGCTTCCTTGTATTGTGCCACAAGTAGTGTAAAGCAAATTTTGCTCTTCATTTACGAAATTGCTACCAGCGCAAAAAAAGTGATTGACTTTTTGTTTCCAGAGTGAATTTTAGTTTTCAGATTTTCTTGCGGAATGAACAAATTACCTATTGACTTAATTGAGTTTTTTGAGCTTTCCTCAGTGAATTTTTTCTAATTGAGTTGGTTTTTACGGAAAATTGTCAATTATAAGAGATTTTTGTACTAAAGAATTTAAAGGTGATGTATTTTGTTTCATGGAAAATTGTAAAATATTTAATAAAAGTATCAAATGTTCTAGGTTTTCTTTGTTCATTGACACTTTTCCAACTTTCTGTTGCCTATACTTCTGAATGATTAATGGAATGATTTTGCATTCTTAATAATGAAATGATTGTCAGGCAAAACGGAGACGACCAAGGATCTCGGGAAGGCCCTGGGTATCATGGTGTACGTATTCAACTGCTCGGAACAGATGGACTACAAGTCGTGTGGTAATATCTACAAGGGACTGGCCCAGGCAGGCGCATGGGGCTGTTTCGACGAGTTCAACCGAATCTCAGTCGAGGTAGTTATATGAGATCAGCTAGCCTAATGAAATATTAGTCTAAAAGTTGAGAAGCTTAAGCTATCAGTCGGCTTAATGGCCAAAATATTGTTAGTGTAAGTTCATTTAAGAATCTTGAGCTCAATTGGTCAAAATTATGAAAACTTTTGCTTATAATCCAACTACTTTTGCGTTAGGATTTATGTTAAAATCAGATACTTTTCTGAACCAGAAACTGTTGTGTCTCTAAAATTGAATACAACTCTTGAGTCGCTGTGAGCCTCGATCTTCAAAATTTTCTAATTGAAAAGTGGATGCCAATTCACTTCAGCTCCAAAAAAGGACCTTCACCTGTCTCTTTTGTAGGTGTTGTCGGTGATTGCGGTGCAAGTGAAGACTGTTCTGGATGCTATCAAGGACAAGAAAGAGGTGTTTGACTTCATGGGAGAAGTCATCAAACTCAAACCCACTGTGGGAATGTGGATCACTATGAATCCAGGGTGAGAAAACTATTTTTATGATTTACTCGCATCATCGGATATGTATGATGTAATCGCAACGGAAGTAGATTCTAATCGGATGTTTGTCAAATTGGATAAAGTGACAGATTATGCACTAAATTTTAGCTCACCGAAAAGCAAATGGCTGTTTTTTTGTTTTCTCGTTGAAAGTAGTCCCATTGTTCCGAATGCTGGTTAAGTTTTTGGAAAAAAGAAATTTGAAAAGTATGCTTCTCATCAGTGAAAAAAAATCAAATCATCGAATTATTGAAAAAATTTAGTTGTTTGCGTGTTTAAGAGTTATATCTTAATAATCAGATCCATTGGTAGCTGTCTTCAAATATTTTCGAATGGTTAATGTTTCATAATTGCTATTTCATTTTCATCCCCGTGCGTTTGGTTGCTGTTCTGTTTATTTATGAAGATAAACCTGATGATAGGTTTCAATAAAAAAAATTATGTAAAATTATTAGTTGCCTTATCATTTTCTCCTTGGCAGGTACGCTGGTCGAGCCGAGTTGCCGGAAAATCTGAAAGCTCTCTTCCGACCCTGCGCTATGGTGGTGCCTGATTTCGCCCTCATTTCTGAAATCATGTTGGTTGCCGAGGCCTTCACAGAAGCAAAACTTCTCGCTCGAAGATTCATCACGCTCTACACTCTTTGCAAAGAGCTGTTGTCGAAGCAAGACCATTACGATTGGGGCTTGAGGGCAATCAAGTCTGTGCTTGTCGTTGCGGGATCCCTGAGACGAGGAGATCCAGGTCGTGCTGAAGATCAAGTCCTCATGAGAGCTCTTCGTGATTTCAACGTGCCTAAGATCGTCACGGATGACATGCCTGTTTTCTTGGGTCTCATCGGAGATCTGTTCCCTGCCATGAACGTCCCGAGAAAACGAGATGAGGACTTCGAAAAGATCATCAAAAAGACCGCCACCGATTTGAAACTGCAGACAGAAGACAGTTTCATTCTCAAAGTCGTCCAGTTGCAGGAGCTGCAAGAGGTGCGTCACTCTGTCTTCGTCCTTGGAAACGCGGGAACTGGTAAATCTCAGGTACTGAGATGTCTGCACAACGTGTACAAGCAGCAGAAAAAGAAGGCAGTCTTTGTGGATCTGAACCCGAAAGCTGTGACTAATGACGAGTTGTTTGGAATCATCAACCCGGCTACTCGTGAGTGGAAAGATGGACTGTTCTCTGTCATCATGAGAGATATGGCGAATATTGCGGGTGATGCGCCCAAGTGGATTGTGCTTGATGGTGACATTGACCCTATGTGGATTGAGTCACTGAATACAGTCATGGATGACAATAAAGTGAGTCATTGAATTACTTTGGTTACTTTTTAGTGTTAAAAATGTGAGGATTGAAAACTCATCGCAGCTTAAACGAAAAATCTCAACTGCCAAAAACTTGAAATAAGTTTTGGTGTCGCAATTAGTTGTTTCGCAATCTTCAAGTCATTTTTTATTTCTGAGATATCAAAAAAACGACATCTGTTGAAGGTGATGTAAACTTAATTAACTGCTTCTTCAGGTGTTGACTCTCGCCTCCAACGAGCGAATCCCTCTCAACCCAACGATGCGTCTCATGTTTGAAATCGCCCACCTCAAAACAGCCACGCCAGCTACAGTATCCAGAGCTGGAATCCTCTACGTCAACCCGCAGGATCTTGGCTGGAACCCTATGGTCCAGAGCTGGATCGACACCCGTGAAATCCAGACTGAAAGGGCTAACTTGACTATTCTCTTTGACAAGTACATTCCGCCGTGCTTGGAAACGATGCGAACTAGGTTCAAGAAAATTACTCCGATCACTGAAGCGTCTCATATAATGACATTGTGCTACCTTCTCGAGGCGATGTTGACGCCTGAAAATACTCCTGCAGATTGTCCAAAGGAACTGTACGAACTCTATTTTGTATTCTGCTGTGTCTGGGCGTTCGGAGCTTGCATGTTCCAGGATCAGCTTGTCGACTACAGAGTTGAGTTTACAAAATGGTGGTCAAATGATTTCAAAACTGTCAAATTCCCCTCCCAGGGAACCGTCTTTGACTATTTCATTGACCCTGAAACCAAGAAGTTCGAACCCTGGACAAAAATTTTGGACAAGTTCGAGTATGATCCGGATTTGCCTCTGTCTGCCATGTTGGTGAACACGAGCGAAACAGTTCGAATCAGGTATTTTATGGACATTTTCATTGAGAAACGAAAACCAATCATGTTGGTCGGAAATGCTGGATCGGGCAAGACTGTGATAATCAACAATAAACTGAACAGTCTCAACTCGGACCAATATGTGATCGCAAATGCGCCGTTCAATTTCTACACGACCAGTGAGATGTTGCAACGGGTGCTGGAGAAACCCCTGGAAAAGAAGGCGGGAAGGAACTACGGACCTCCAGGCACAAAGAAATTGATCTACTTCATTGACGACATGAATATGCCCGAGGTATGGTAGATTGAATTTTTAAAAATACTAAGAAGTTGTAGGAAATTATTTAAAATATGAGGATCAAATAGGAAGTAAAAAGGACCAAAAAGAGTATAATGTCCAAAAATATTAATGGGAGTGTCTAAGTTTTGCGTATTAGCAGTCACGGAAGTACCCCTTTAAAGATTCGCCCCTGTCCACTTTTTGGGACTATTCTACGACATCTATTTTTTCAACCAATCCAAGATTTTTCTAAAGGCACTTTGGGCGCCAATAAATTACCTTAAATTTGAAAAGAGAGCTCGTGTGAATTTTTTGCTCGATGAACAGTGCCTAAATTTACCACATTTAGCACTTTTTGCACACGCGAAAGAGCATGCTTGTGGTGCAGATTTTTTTTTCGGAAATAAAAGGTCTTCCCCTTCAGTGTTTTGTGGGAGAGCGCTGAATATCAACTTAGTCGACCTGTAAGTTTCGACATTTGTTTTCGAAAATCTGATCCGTACCTCTCGGGCAAAGCGCGGATTGGCGCAAAAGCAAAAATTAACTCATTAGGTATCGATTTTTTGAGAGGAGAGGTGCTCAGCATCAAAAACGATGTTTAAAACCCTCATGCATTGTTCAAACTGTGTCTCAGTTTTATTAATTATGGCCCATCGAAGTCATGGTACATCATTTCCTATCTCATTATCAATAAGAGTAATGAACGTAGTGAGTATTCTTATATAAGTCTTGCTGATTTTTTCACACAAGGAAAAAAAATTGTTTACACTCAATTTTGATTTTTCGCTGTTTGACTTGTGATATCTTTTTAAGTTCAGTGAAGTTCCATTGTTAAAAGGAAGGCAAATTCCGCCACTATCAAACAGCAAAAGTGTACAGATCATGAAAAACGTGATCGACTTCTAATTTCGAACATGGAAATTAGTTATCAGATTTCCCAGCGAAATAAAACTTTTACCTATTGATTTAGTTTTTTCAAATTGGGTTAATTTTAACAAAAAGTGTTAGATTCTTGACTCATCATATGGAATATGACTAAGCAACAGCAGTTGTAATCTTATACGATCTCGATAACTTTTAGTTTTTTAAACAATGACAATAAAAAACTATGTTTGAAAGATATGGATTGTTTGGTTATTTATAATCATATGAAATATTTCCAAAAAAACTGCAGCTAATAATAATTATTAATTTAGCATTTACATTAGCAATTAGCAAAGCTTTTTTGTCGTTTTTTCGCTAGTATTTGCGAAGCGCATCTTCCCCTCGGTGTCGAGCTTAAGGTTTGATCTCTTTTAGTAGCGCGTAACTTTTAACAGTTTCAAGAGACGAAATAGGCGATGGTTGCCATAAACGTGATCTGTTCGATGAAAATTCCCAGGCGAAAGACGAATTTTCAAAAAATTACCGTTATTGCGCATTTTCATTTAATTGTTTTCATACTTAGAGAATTTTCCCTGGCTGATTTTTTAAATCTTAATGTTCAAGGCATCTAATGCTCTTCGATTGATTGATTATATGGTAGCAATATTACCAACAAGAACAATCGCTCGAGTAATAAATACATCAAAAGTTCTGTTCAACTTCCAATCAACAGCAAAAATTCTCAATGACTAAAAAATTTCATAAAAAAGTATTTACGGTAAATTGTTTTTTTTGTGTGTGTTTCAGGTGGACAAGTACTTCACTGTACAGCCGCACACTCTGTTGAGACAGCACATGGACTACCAGCACTGGTACGACAGAGTCAAGCTGTCCCTCAAGGACATCAACAGCGTCCAATATGTGTCATGCATGAACCCCACTGCAGGTCAGTCGCTATCAATATTCAACTCAATTTTGGGTCTTTTCTGTTAAAATGGGCCTAAAAACAGAAAAAAATTATTAAAAACACGTAAATTTGAAAAAGACTTTTAGCTTGCATCTGACTTTGAGTAATTCAAACCAATCACGATCAAGCAATATGAACGATTTTTCAAAATATCGAAATCTTCAAATTTGGACCGTAAAACAGAAAAGACCAATGTTTTTGTATGGTATACAATGATGACCAGGAAAAAAGTCTTCAAAAAAAGGTTCAATTATGTTAGATTAGTTACTGATAATATGTTACAAGATATCAAATCAGAGATGATTTTGTTGTTTGTTCCAGGTAGTTTCACCATCAATCCTCGACTGCAGCGTCACTTCTCAGTGTTCGCAATCAGCTTCCCCAACAACGAGGCCATAGTCACCATCTACAACAGGTAAGATCTCATTTTTAAGCCATACAAGCTTTGATCGCCAAGAAATTAAAAAAATTACTTTTAATTAGCAAAAACATTTCTTTGTTCTTACCATTTCAAGAAGTTGCGATCTTTTTACACTCGATTTTAAATACTTCGAGGAGATTTCGTTGCAGGTCAAGCGTTGTATCATATAAAAAATTGTCTGGGTGAAAAAGTTGTCTCGGTGTTGAGAAAAACTTCAGAATGTTTGGCCATTCAGACTCAAGTTTAACTAACAGCAGAAGTGTTCTTTTTGTAGGTCTTCATTTTGCGTCTTGCTTTGGAAGAAACACTGTTCATTTTTTGTTTTAACGTTAAGAATGGTAGTTTGATATACTTTTTAAATTGATTTTATAACCTGCGGGTCAATTATTTCACTTAAAATACTAAACGTTTTTTGAAACGTTTCAATTTTTTTTTTGAAAAAAATAATGTTTTTCATTTTTTTTCGTTTTGTATTTTTTTCCTTGCAATAATATCTGTTTTTCGAATTTTCCAGTGCTACTTGCACAGCAAACGGCGTTCCACGTGGCTTTCCAAACTGCTCTTTGAAAAAAAACGCTATGGCTTAGAATCAAGCATTTAATTTTATAATGGGTAAAGGTGTCAAGTATTCATGGACGGATATCGCATGTTTCCGAGTTAGAGGATTATTTAAAGAGTATTATTTAAAGCGTATTGTTTGAAGAGTTTTATTTAAAATGTGTCGTTTTTTGCTGCTAGCGTCCTAAGCCAACACCTGCAGATGATGAACTTCCAGCCGCCGATCCAGAAACTGTCTCTGAACGTGGTAAATGCCACCCTGGGATTCCACCAGAGGATCGCCCAGGTGTTCCTGCCCACTGCAATCAAGTTCCACTACAACTTCAACTTGAGGGACTTGACCAACGTGTTCCAAGGTACAGCCATAGTTTAATTGTGGTTCCTGTAACGGATCCAGACTGAGTTATTTTGTTGAGCGAAGCTCTTTTTTGCGTCTAGAATTTTCACGTGGTATCACTATTGCAGACGAAATTGGCCAGGTTGTGGTAGACCTGAAGCTAGATGTCAAGTGAGAGCTCGTCCTCACAATTTATCATTGCCACGGTTCTTTAACACATTTTTTTTTTCAAATGCACCAAAATTTTGAAATAAATCAATTCATTATTTCAAATTTTTTGTCCAAATTCGATTCAATTTTCAATGACGTCTTTTTTCGTTTTCGTTTCTAATGGCCAAAAAAGAACATTCGAAATGAGCAATTTCAAAAAAATGAGCTGAATGCCGAGAGAGCTTGATTTATAGTTAGTTTTAGAATGAGTTAAAACTAATAAAATGTCTTGAAATTGAAAGACTTATAAGTTATTTATTTTGTTCTATGAAAGCAAAAAAACTGTAATTTTTTTTATTATACTTGAATTCATCAGCACTTTTCCAAATCTAAGTTGACTGTGTTATTATATATCATGGTTACAAAAACTCTTTCAACAGTTATTATTTTTAATTTTTTGGTCACATTGAACAAAATTAACCTTTTGTCTTTCTAGGTCTCCTGTTCTCGACGCCCGATTGTGTGAAGACCCCCATGGACATGTGTCGACTGTGGATCCATGAGTGTCGCAGAGTCTACAGGGACAAACTGATCGACGCCACCGACATGGACAATTACGACAAGCTCGAGGTCAGTTACGAGGAGGGACCACAGAGAAGACGCCTTGTATTTTCACTGAAATTTATGACTACACAAGCAAAGCTTGTGTTATAGTATTAACTCTCTTTTTTCCAACCTATGTCTCAAATATTGTTGCAATGCAAATATTCTTGCGACAAAATGTGATCATTTTGAAAGGGTTCATTTTGATCAATAACCAGCTAATTAGTTCTGCCAATGCTAATGATATTAACACAGACTATTATATTGCAAATAGCACTTTAGCTTCAAGGTATCATGGATCTGTAGCTTAGAGCTAGGGAAGGAGACCCTCAACAAAGTAAGAGGGTTCGAACCTGGGCAGGGTCGGATGTTTTAATGTACTTTTTGTATACCAGTTAAAATGCGTCCACTCTATAAATTGAGGCATGTTAGTTGGTAAATTTCCTTTTTTCCAAATTTACTGGTACTGCTAATGCGTCATAATTGGCTTGCGTCACTTAGCAATTATGTCGACTCATACTTGGCGTGCGTCACTTAAGATGTTTTGTAGACTCAATATTTTACTCATTCAGTTTTTCCCATATCGGTCATATTTGAGCTTTGTATGCGAAGTGCAACTTCGCCTTTGTGTAAATAATAGAATTATGAAAAAAAATAAAAGTAAATTAATGAAAATGAAATAATAATTGTAAAAAAAACTTGTTTGTTATTGGACTGAAAAATAATTTGTTCTACTTGATTTTAGAGCAAAATAAAATAAAAACAATTCTAAAAGCAACACAATTATTAACAATGACAAGAATAGCTGGTTGCTGTGCAAGTAGAACTTAATATTGCGACCATATTCTTAGAAAAATACATAAAAAAGTTTTTTCATGTTTTTTTTCAAAATAGTGTTTTTTGTGCGTGGTGTGATGCATGGATTTGAAAAAAAACTAAATTTTAGGTTTTTTTGACAATCACAGTAAAATAGGCATATCGGGAAAAAATATTTCGTCGCAAAATGACTAGAAAAAAAACAACAAAAACAAAATTTAAAAAAATGGCGCTAAAAAACTCAAAAATAAATTTACCAAAAAATTCATGGCTTAAATTTTTATGATAAGCCTCTCGCTTGCTTTAATAGCTGGAAATTAGACTGAAACTCAAAAATTTCTAAACCGATTTTTTTTTGACACTGGGACAAATATTCGAAAAATGCTTAGTGTCGTTCGAATCAGGATTGAACGCGTTTTGAAATTATATATCATTCAACTCATTCCGCAAAAATTCTATCTCAGTTTTGAGCAACATAAACTATCTTTTCTACCTTAAAATTTCTTTTAAAATAATCGTTTTAAATCATATTTTACCATACAATATAAAGTTTTGAACAAATTTTTCAAGGCTTACAGTTCCAAACGAAGTTTTATAGAGAATTAGGGATATTAGATTGCAAATAATAATCAAGCGGTATTATCAATAAAAAAAAGTTGGTACGGGATTTGAACCGGGGACTTCTCGTCCTAAAATCTGCCAGTTGTAGTCCATTGCCCAATAATGCCATATTTAGGTGGACATGGTGCAAAAAGGGTGGGAAGAAATGAACCTGGACGAGGCCATGCATGCCCCAATTCTGTACACCCACTTCTCCCAGGGTATGGGCGACCCCAAATACCTGCCTCTAACCGAGTGGACACAACTGAACAAACTGCTAGTGGAAGCTCTCGAAGGCTACAATGAGGTGAGTCCAAGTTTTCAAGTTGCCCTAATATTCAAGTTGTCCAAATATTCTAATTGCCCGAATTTTCAAATTACCTTGAGTTGCAATTTTCCCAAATTTTCACATTGCACCAATTTTGAAGCTGCCCAATTTTCTATCACATTTTTGATTTGACCCATGTTTTTTTCAAATGCAGTGACTTAAAGAAGCAAAATTGACAACTTCGTCAAATTAACAACTGAGTTTAATCGACATCAATTTTGCGATCATTTTGGTGCTTGTTAGAAAGTTTTTTCAGTCTAATTTAAACAAAAAATGATCTCCTTAATTGCATCACATTGCTTTAATTGTATTTTTTTTCTTAATTGTAATTTTTTTTTCTTAATTGTAATTTTTCTTCTTCAGCTAAAAAAAATGAAACAAAATATTTTTCTGGTTTACTTTAGATGAACGCTCAAATGAATCTAGTCCTGTTCGAAGATGCGATGAGTCATATAGCGAGAATCAACAGAATCTTGGAGGCCCCGAGAGGTAACGCCCTCTTGGTCGGAGTCGGTGGTTCGGGTAAACAGAGTTTAGCCCGTCTTGCCGCTTTCATAAGCTCACTAGAGGTATTCCAAGTCACCCTCAGAAAAGGCTACAGCGTAACTGACCTCAAAACTGATCTGGCCGCTCTTTACATCAAAGCGGGTGTCAAGAACGTCGGAACTGTGTTCTTGATGACCGACTCACAAGTCGCAGACGAGCGATTCTTGGTGCTGATCAACGACTTGCTCGCATCGGGTGAGATTCCAGAGATTTTGCCGGATGACGAGATCGAAAATGTCATCGGCGCCATGAGACCCGAAGTGAAGGGAATGGGAATGGAAGACTCGAGAGAAAACTGCTGGAAGTTCTTCATCGACAAAGTCAGAAGGAATCTCAAACTAGTGCTCTGCTTCTCGCCCGTCGGTGTCACGATTCGAGTCCGAGCGCGACGGTTCCCCGCGATTGTCAATTGTACGTCAATCGATTGGTTCCACGAATGGCCCAAGGAAGCGCTTGTCAGTGTGAGCTTGAGGTTCCTGTCTGAAGTTGATCTTTTGGGTCCCGATCTGAGAGAGTCGATAGCCGAGTTCATGAGTTTTGTTCATTTAAGTGTTAACGATATGTCCCATACCTATCTGACGAATGAAAGGAGATACTACTACACCACACCTAAGAGCTTCTTGGAACTGATTATGTTGTACCGAAACTTGCTCGGCAAGCAACACAAAGATTTGTTGGCAAAAATGGAGCGTCTTGAGAACGGTTTGCAGAAGCTGCAAAGCACGTCATCACAGGTCGATGACCTAAAAGAGAAACTGAAATCGCAAGAGGTCGAGTTAGCTCAGAAGAACGAAGACGCAGACAAGCTTATTGAAGTGGTCGGCAAGGAAACCGAAATGGTGAATGGCGAAAAGGAAAAGGCTGCAGAAGAAGAAGCGAAGGTGACGGTGATCCAAAAGGAGGTATCAATCAAACAAGCCTCGTGTGAGGAAGATCTTTCGAAAGCGGAGCCTGCTCTGAAAGCGGCCCAGGAGGCCTTGAATACCCTGGACAAAAACAACTTGACGGAGCTGAAGTCTTTCGGATCACCCCCAGCTGCGGTGGTAACTGTGACGTCAGGTGTCATGGTTCTATATCTGGGAGGAGCGGCTGGAAAAGTTCCAAAAGATCGCACCTGGAAAGCAGCTAAAGTCATGATGGGAAATGTCGGAGAGTTCCTGAACAATTTGGTTACTTTCGACAAGGACCATATCCATCCAGCTGCGGTGAAAGCCATGGATGAATATATGAAAAACCCAGAATTTGATCCAGAGTTCATCAAGGCTAAAAGTTCGGCCGCTGCCGGTTTGTGTTCATGGGCTATCAACGTCATCAAGTATTTCGAAGTTTACTGCGAAGTTGAGCCAAAACGAATGGCTCTTGAACAGGCCAATAGAGATCTGGCAACTGCTGAGGCCAAACTAAGTGTGGTGCAAGCCAAGATTGCGGAACTGGATGCGAATTTGGGTAAACTTACCGCTGAGTTCGAGACTGCAACGGCTGCTAAACTGAAATGTCAACAAGAAGCAGAGGCTACTGAAAATACGATTAAGCTAGCCAATCGGCTAGTCGGAGGCTTGGCTTCTGAAAATGTTCGTTGGGCCGAATCAGTTAAGAAATTCAAAGAGGAAGAAGTTACTCTGCCAGGAGACGTTCTGCTAATTTCGGCATTTATTTCATACGTGGGAGGTTTTACGAAAAGATACAGACTTGATTTAACCGACCATTTGTGGACGGATAAACTAAAAACTTTGAAAACCCCGATTCCTGTGACCGAAAATTTGGACCCGTTGATCATGGTCACTGACAGAGCCCAAATTGCGTCCTGGAACAACGAAGGGTTGCCGAGTGACCGAATGTCGACTGAAAACGCGACAATTTTAACAAGCTGCGAACGTTGGCCGCTCATGATTGATCCTCAACTGCAAGGAATTAAATGGATCAAAACTAAATATGGAGACGCCTTGACTGTGATCAGATTGGGACAGAAAGGATACCTGGACACACTGGAAAGAGCCCTCGCGAATGGAGAGACGGTTCTGGTCGAGAATCTGGGCGAAGAAATTGAGGCCGTTTTGGATCCGATTCTGGGCAGGAACACTATCAAGAAGGGAACTGCGATTAAACTGGGAGACAAGGAGATTGAATACAACCAGAGTTTCAGGCTAGTAAACAGTAGTCTTGTTATTTTATTTAACGAGTTCATCTTCACTTAGTTTTTTGGAATCTGCAACCTATTATTTCAGAGATTGCCATGGACCAAAACATTACATTTTTAAAATGAGGGATTGTGCAATGCTTATTGCTTGATATAACGGCCAGTAGTTCTAGATTTTCATGCTTTGGAATCAAACGAAGTTTTGGAGTCAAATGAAAGAGAACGTTTTCGGAAATTTTGATCACACTTATTTTTGGCTGTTTAAAATTGTGAAAAACTGTCCAAGTTCTGTTTGGAATCCTTAGTTGTTGAAATGGCTTTTTTTCAAAATGCTTTGTCGGATTAGTAAACTGGTGTATTGGTAATAATTATAGGTTGATTAATAACTACTGTTTAATTATAGGTTGATTCTGCACACGAAGCTGGCCAACCCGCATTATAAGCCAGAGATCCAGGCACAAGCTACTCTGATCAACTTCACTGTGACGAGGGATGGGTTGGAGGACCAGCTGCTGGCTGACGTCGTCAGTGCCGAGAGGCCGGATCTAGAGGAACTAAGGGTGAGACTTTTTCCAACTTTTAAGATTTTTTATAATTTTTAATGTACCTTTTTATCTAATTGTCTCAAATTTGGATAATAAAAATTATTTATTTCAGCAACTGCAACTTATACTGATTTTAGTGTATTTTTTGTTAGTGTGTTTTATCCCCGACTATGTAAGCGTTTTTGAAGCAGGTGGATTAGTTTAATTACAGTTTAACATGCTTTATTATCCTTTTTTTACTCTTTGCATTATTTTTACACCCTGTCAGAAGATAGATTAAGTTTTAATTTTTCGATCATAGAAACGTTTTAAAATTAGCTTTCTATTTAGCTTGACCTGACTAAGAAGCAGAATGAGTTCACGATCACCCTCAAAGAGCTGGAGGACAATCTGCTAGCGAGACTGTCGGCCGCAGGAGGCAACTTCCTAGGAGACACTGCTTTGGTGGAAAATCTGGAGACTACTAAGAGGACGGCCAGTGAGATCGAAGTGCAAGTAGCAGAAGCGAAAATCACAGAGGTGAACTTGCTTTCAAATTTGTTCAACTGATAATTGTTCCGACTTTCGATACGAAAGTAACGGAATATTTGTGCTCGGGGTGGTTTTTTTTTCTACAGACAAATTTCGACTTTTTAACTAGCCATTTTTGACGGAATTCTTTTATATCATTCGAAAGATATTGTTGTCCTAAGCTCAAATTTGAAAAGATATTTCACCTGTGATCATTTTTCGTAAAGTTATGGGGGTTTAAAAATGGCCATTTTGGCCAATTTGGGACAATTAACGCGCGATATATTTCGCGCTATTAACGCGTAAGCGGAGAGTTAATCCGTCTTAGAAATTGGTGCAAATTGGTTGAAAGAAGCTTATGTGCCATAATTGATTTGTTACAAGGAGCGATATCTATCCTTTTGTACTTTATATGGCGTGTGGGGGATGATTTTCATAAAAAGTTTCAAATTTTAGAAATTTTTTTTTTTAATTTTGTTTTATTTCATTTAATTTTTAAATGTTATTACTGCTCCATAAACCTTAAGAGGCAGTCGGAACATTCAGGACTTCGCCCTGATACGAGCAGTCTTGTTTTAACTGAAACTTAAAATTGTGCAGTGTGAAAAAAAAACGGATAAAAAATTGAAATTTTAGGTATATGTCAATTATTTCAAAAAATAAATTGAACTTCGGGAAAGAGAATGTACGAAAATTGTACATTAACAGCACGTAATTCTTATAGTTCTTCTTTTGGGCTGAGAATTGTGTTCTCGTCGTTAAGCTACTATGACCCTGATGGGCCTCGAACCAGCGACCTAGGTAGTTAGAGGCCAAGACCTAAGACACTTAGCCACCGGGATAATTACAATGGATAAAATGTGCTTGTTGTGTGTTGTAGGTGAAGATCAATGAGGCGCGTGAACTGTACAGGCCAGCTGCCAACAGGGCCTCTATCCTCTACTTTATACTGAATGAGATGGATAAGATCAACCCCATCTATCAGTTCAGTCTCAAGGCATTCAACGCCGTCTTCAAGGTATTCACCTATTTTACGAACAAAATCAGCCAGTTATTATGCAAGTGGTACATATTGTTCCAAACAGTTATTCTCGCAAAAAATATATGAAGAAAATCAAAAGAAACTTTTTGAAAAATTTTCAAAAAAGTTCCAGAATTTTTCTGGCCTTTTATTTTGGTAAGTTTTTCTATGCCTATTTGTGTGCTTAGGTCGCGATAGACAGGGCGGCAGCGTCTGAGAGTGAGGACGAGAATGAGAAGGTGAAACAGAGAGTGAAAAACTTGATCGATCAGATCACTTACCAAGTATACATCTACACCTCAAGGGGTAAGTCAAATCACAGGAACTCAACTTCATATTAGGCCTTCATAACAATTTCAAAAGATTTTTTTGCCAGCGACCTTTTATGGCTTCTTTAGAAAAAACTTACGAGTAGTCTAAAATTGCATGAGATCTCGAAAATAAGTTGGGTTTAATCAGAACAATAAGACGGAGATGACGGAAAGAAAGATTAATAGCTTGTTGCTTCTCCTCTTTTCTCCCTGCAGTTAAGTTAACGAGTTAAGTTAAATGACATCAGTAACCACTAGTGGACAGTCAAAGAATCTATTGGGGTTGCAAATACAGTCGAAAAAATGAGTGCACCAAGTTTTCGAACGTTTTTCAAATCCAGGAATTTTTCAATTGTGTTTTTATTCCAGGTCTATTTGAGAAGGATAAGCTAATCTTCACTACCCAAGTAGCCTTCCAGATCCTGCTGAACTCGAAGGAGATCTCAGCCCCGGAGCTGGACTTCCTCCTCCGATTCCCCATCACTCCCAACGTCACCTCCCCCGTCGACTTCCTCAACAACAACTCGTGGGGGGCTATCAAGTCTCTGTCGGCCATGGAGGACTTTAAGAACCTCGACAAGGTGTATTTTTTATCTGAAGAGTTTTTTCAAGCATTTTTTTATTCCGACCAGTTTGACCAACGTTAATTTGACTAAAAGTCACAAATCAATGTGTTCCAAATTATTACAAACAGATTGGATAAGATGTGTTGTTTGTTTGTTTGCTGGAAAGGTTTTTGACCATAAACTATCATGCAGTTTTTCCTAAATCCTGAAGTTTTTATTCTTTTTTCCAGGACCTGAAGGGTTGCCCCATTTTCATTTTGAACATTTTGACAATCGATTTTTATGTGGTTTTCAGGAAAGGTTGAAATGTTGAGATTTTTCTATGATAATTGCGAGCAAGATCAGAGAACAAGGTGGTAGAAAATTCTACTTCTTGCATGCACCACATGTTTCGCGTAGTAGTGTATAATTTATTCAATTCATAAATTGAATATTATATAACATTAATGTGTGACTTTAGGACCTGGAGGGCAGTGCGAAGCGGTGGAAGAAGTTTGTAGAGAGTGAGGCGATCGAAAAGGAGAAGTTCCCGCAGGAGTGGAAGAACAAGACCTCCCTTCAGCGACTCTGCATGCTCCGAGCACTCAGACCAGACAGGATGACATACGCCATCTCGTGAGTACTCGACTCGAGGTTTCCAGACCAAATTTAAGCAAGATTTGAGACGTTTGAGTGGTTTTGTTAAACGATAGCGCTCAAAATCTTGCTTTACCAGCTCTGATTAGTTGACAAAATTTTCGCGCTTTAGGTCCCGCGCTGTTGAGAAGTTTCCCCCGCCTAGACTAAACTGCACTTTGTTGTATAATAATTTACAAAAAATTGCAACAGAGTTAGTTAAAAGAGCAATCTGCCAATTTTGTTCAAATTTTGCATGCAATTTTGAATTTTTTCCAAATAATTCGCTTTTGCGTGCAATAATTGTCTGAAATTGTCTTTTGCTCTTTTTACTTATTTTTTTCTTTTCCATTTTTTTCAATTCTCCATACCTAGCAACGGTTATTCACAGTTGATCCTTTAAAGTTGATCCTTTAAAGACTAAGCATCTCATTATTCCAAATAACACTATATATTTTTCACTTTGCTAAGGGAGGGAAATCAGTGACACAACAGTGCCATGTTGTTCCGTAAAGAGCCGGACAACTTGTATGTTGGTTGCTTCTTTCGTAGTTAAATTAATATTTTCATCTTTGGTGAGCCTAATCTGAATAAAAATAAAGAATCACCTGTTGAACATTTTGAATTGCTAATCTCAAAAGGCCAATAATTAATCTATGACCACAATCTATGTTTTTTTTTGTATTTCAGACTGTTCATTGAGGAGCGACTGGGTAAGAAATACACGGAGAACAGGTCGATTCCCTTCCCAGACTCCTACAAGGAGAGCGGACCTGCAATTCCCATGTTCTTCATCCTTTCACCAGGTATGAATTATTTCATTAAAACTTACGCTTGTATCAATGAAATAAGTTATAAGATTAGGAGTAACAGTCTATGAGGGATCGAATTACTCAACCAACTCTTGTGGGATAATACGAGTCAATTTTTCGAATATATGTGTGTTAAAATAAACAGCAGGCAAATAATCAAGCAGCCCACGTCAATAAAATTTATTAAGAGTGATGAACGTAGTGAAGACTCTTATATAGGTCTTGGTGATTTTTATTTTTTTTTCAGGAAAAAGTCTAAAAAATCTTTATTAACTACAGATGTGCATTCATACATATTGATGCATTTATGATTGAACTTAGGTATATATCCACTTTTTGAATTCAATTGAAATTCATCTGCTGAAAGTGACGTAAATAGCACTCTCCAAATACGAACGTGGAAATGGCGCGAAGAAAACGCGAACTATTTCTAGTTTCGAAAGTGGAATTTAATTTTGAAGATTTCCCAGCGGAATAAAAATTTTGATCCAGTTGGCTATAGTTGGGTTCATGTTATCAAAAAAGCGCCAGTCTTAAATTGTTTCAGAAATTCAAAGAGCTTAAAGGGCATCTATTTTTTCTTTGAAAGTCGAAAGTTGAGATTTTTTCAACAAAGTTAGTGTTTTTTTTTAATGTTGCGTTTTCAATGTTGCGTTCATGTTGAATAATGAACTTGCGCTCATTACTCTTTTCTAATCTTCGATTGGCTATGTTTTTTGATTAGGGATGCTTAAAAAATAGACTGGGGGACCCTTTGGGTGATCAGGAGATCAAAATTTTGATAAGTGAGCGTTTTTCGATGTTTTCATAGTACGCGAGCATTTATGCTTATTCAGACTCATTTCCTCGGCAGACTAGTTCAAAAGCTACGCTAATTCGATTTCGTTCCAGACGTAAAAAAAACTGTTGGTAGTTTAGAGAAAAAACATCCCGAAGGTTTTTTTTAAATTAAGTTTTTTTAGTTTTTACAATTGATTCTTTTGAAACCGGTTAGTACTAGTAGTAGTAGCAAAAGACTTTATTTACCAAAAAAGGAAGTTTAATTTTAACGAATTACCTAACGAATTACCTTTTTCAATTAACAGAATAGTGATTTGATCAAACTACAACAATCCGTTTTTTCAGGCGTGGACCCATTGGTGGATGTGGAGGCGCTGGGCAAGAAGATTGGGTTCACTTTTGACGCCAAGAACTTCCACAATGTCTCCCTCGGACAAGGACAAGAGATAGTGGCTGAATCGGCAATCGCAAAAGCCTCAGAGGAAGGTAGGTAGTGCATCTATTTCGGATTGCTAGACAGTTAAGAATGGTTCGAATCTCAATCTGGCAGAAAATAATTCAATATTTGTGAGTAGTAACTTAAGAATGCTTATTTATAACCAACTTTTATAGAAACTTTTGTAGCAGTGCCATCGTCAGGTATATAATTTGAGGCATATTGAACAGTTAATTTTAAAGAACATTTGGAAACAAGGTTAGCCGGTTACTGTGCAAGTAGCACAAAATGTTCCGACCAGTCTTAAAAAATACAAAAAAAAAGTTTTTTCAAATTCGCGTCGTTTTTTTCCTGCGTGCTGTGATACAAAGATCTGAAGGGAAAAAAAGAACTTAGGCATATTTCAGAATCAGGTCAATTGTAAAACAGTTTTTGAAGAAAAATGACTAGAAAAACGAAAAAAAAAATTGAATTTTCAAGTTTTAGATTCTCAAAATTGCGCTCGAAATTAGACCAAAAGTCTAAAATTTCAAACCGGTTTTTCCCGACACTGAAAAAAGTTTCAAAATTTTTTTATGTCGTTCCAATCACGACTGAAAACGCTTTAATATGATATATCATTCAACCCAGTCCGATGATTATTTGTGGTACCTGATTTTGCGTGGAAAACAAAAAGCAAAAAAAACTAAAACGCACCTGAATCCAAAGTTTCTCCCCGTTTTCAATGGTCGGAACAATAATCAAATGGCAGAAAAGTCGGGAGTCCTTTTAAATGGAAGATGGAAGAGATTTTATATCAGTCATTTTTATACGGGTTTCATTGTTTTGGTAACCTGTCTGTTATAATAGTACCAGAATTTTGGAGTTTAAAAAAGTTGGGCCATTTTACGCCATAAGCTCGAGTTAATTAATCATTCTTTTAGGCCATTGGGTCATTCTACAAAATGTGCACTTGGTTGCAAAATGGCTGCCGACTCTGGAAAAGAGGATGGAAGAGGCTGCGGCCACTGCGCATGAGTCATACAGGATCTACATCTCGGCCGAGCCAGCCCCCACCCCGGCGTCGCATATTTTGCCCCAGGGTATTCTGGAAAACAGCATCAAGATCACGAATGAGCCGCCTACTGGCATGTTTGCTAATTTGCACAAAGCCCTCGATAATTTCGACCAGGTGCGTGTTTTGAGATGATCTTGCAAGTACTTTGTCACAGCTTTATGGCACACCTTTAAATCTCAGTACCATTAACTAGGAGTGGTATTCGAATTTTATTTCCCATTTTTAAAAGTTTAAGGGTCTCTCTCTACCATACATTGAAATCATTTTATAACGAAAGTAACTCTCTGATCGCTGTTTCCGATTTTCGATTGAAAATATGTATCATTTTTTTCGACACGCACTCTCCAACCTGAACTAGTTACGTATCTAGTTAATAATTAAATATTTAGACAATTAGTTAATTGTTTCAGGACACGATGGAGATGTGCTCGAAGGAGGCAGAGTTCAAGAGCATCCTGTTCTCCCTCTGTTACTTCCACGCTGTCATCGCCGAGAGGAGGAAGTTCGGACCCCAAGGATGGAACAGGGGATACCCATTCAACACCGGAGACCTCAAAATCAGCGCCATGGTAAGCAGCTAATTCATTTTCCAAAAGTTTCGCGAATTGTTTCGACCAAATTACTCGTTTCTGATTGGCTGTGAACGAAACATTTTGTTCCATAGTAAGCACGTGAATATTATCCCCTAAACCGGATAGAGGGGGGGGGGGGGTCGTTCACTTTTTCCTAGTAATTCTTCATTTTATGCAATTATCTATTCATTCTAACCAATTGTTAATCATCATCACTAATTCGGGCCCCGAAAATCATCTAAGCAATCCATTTTGTTGAGTTAACATTAAAAACGCCGCTCTAAAACCTCTTTTGGCTTCATATACGTCGGTATAATATGTAAAACTTTCATTACGACAAGCAGTTAGTCGAATCGTATCTGGTATTTTTGTTGTCTATCGTCGAAAAATAAATTAGTGTAGGTAGTGTAGTTCTATAGGAATGAAGCTCAATCAGAGTCAGAGGTGCACCATATTTTGTAATGTGATGATAATGGTAAAACTCGTTTTGATTTCAATTTTTTTTTCATAATGCTTCAAATCGGAGTGACTTTTACAGAATTAAAAGTTGAGTTTTACAAATTAGCTCGCGAAACTGCAATGAAGTTGCTTCAACAGCATGAAATGATGTCTTTAGTCACTGCATCTCACAATTTGATTTTGTAAAAAAAAACGAAACTGATAATTATTTTTGCTTAACTTTGTGACCCCTTTTTTATAGAAAAGTGAATAAACCAGCCGGAAACTAATAGAGCAAAAAATCAGCCGAAAGTCACGTCATTTGTGTTGAATTTTGAGTGGTTTTTGTAGCTGTTTCATAACTGTTGCATAATGATTATGTAACTGGTCAGTGTTTTCTTCGTTTTGCAGGTGTTGTTCAACTACCTGGAGAACAATGCGAAGGTGCCGTGGGAGGATCTGAGGTATCTGTTTGGGGAGATCATGTACGGGGGACACATCACAGACGACTGGGACAGGCGACTCTGCAGGACATTCCTCGAGGAGTTCATGGGACCAGACCAGGTACCCTAATTGGCTATGATCTTACACTATCTCCCTCCGTCCCATTTTAAAACTTATTCTAGAATTTTATTTTAAAATTTTAAAAATTGTTCATATGGTAGTGCGCACGTACCAAATTTTGTTCAAATAAGTTCATGTTGGAATGTTGTTTTTTGAAGTTTAGATCATCAATCATATTTCAATCGAATTTCAGAAAAAGTCAAAGGGAGAACTGGAAAAGAGCTCTTTTTTGAGCATCCGATTCAAATACACAGATCGATTATCATTATAAAGATTAATTGTCCTGGAAGTCCAAGTGTTTTCGTGAGTCATAGATTTTCTTGCGTTTTTGTTAACTCATGGTTAGATTTTTGTTTAGCTGGACAGTGAGATCTGGCTGGCTCCTGGATTTGCCACTGCTCCCAACAGTGACTACAAGGGATACCACACCTACATAGACGAAGCACTCCCAGCTGAGAGTCCAGGTAATAACTAACAACACCCGAGAGGTCAGATACAGTTAAAGTAGGTTTCCATCGAAAAGAATGAAAAGGATGTTCTTTTGTACCGATAAAAAAGAGTTTCTTCTGAAAACTTTCGATACCTTGCTTTTCAATGGGACACTTCATTTCACATATATCAATGCAATGACCGTAAATTACTCGATAATAGTTTTAGTAATACAAAGTATGATATTTGGGTCCTGAAAATATAGCTGGTTTCTGAGGAAAAACTTACGTACTATAAAATCTTCGGAAAAAGTATTTGCAATTGCTGCTCACTTTGAGTTTTAGAAATTTTCTCAAAATGGCGAGAGCCAACTTTCATACTTACTTTTTCTGGGGACCAAACTATCATACTTGTTTCAGTTAGGAGTAAATAGTTGATGCTTTCAAATATATCTTATATTTCTTTGTTTTCTTGTCCTTAGTGCTGTACGGTCTGCACCCGAATGCGGAGATTGACTTCCTGACGACGACTAGCGAGAAGTTGTTTCGCACAGTGATGGAAATGCAGCCCAAGGACGCGGGAGGGGGCGACGACGGGGGAATGTCCAAGGAGGAAATGGTAAGCGAATACATTCTATCATGCATTTTCTCCGAAAAACAAATCATTTCTCTTGCCGCAGTTTTTTCCGAGAAGTAACATGTTCTCCTGTCGCAGTTTTTTCCGAGAAGCAACCGAAAATTAACATGTAATTTTTTACCAGGGAAGGAACAGCGGTGCTCCGTAAAAACTGAACAGATCGTATGATGTTCTTTTCCCTAGTCAATGAATCGTGTAAATCTTAAACGACAGTCCATAAAAAATCGACGCAAAAAATATCCCGCACTCGAAAGTGTTTTGTCAAGATACATCATATTTTTTATTTTCCGTCAAAGCTATTATACGTTTAATCCTGGGTAATGTAATTCACCGATCAAACTAACACAAAACAGAATCAAACAGAAAATATCCGAGAAAACTTTGAAACGAATTGATGAATAAATTTTTCTCGATCATTTTATTTTAAAAGGAAGAAAGTTAATTCAATAAAAATTCACGTTTTTGCTGATATATTTTATAACAGCAAAAAGTCCTGAAAGTGATTCTAGTTCAATTTTGTTTTCTCGCCTTTACAACTGTGATGCTTTCTGAAGGCCTCCAGTCGTAAATCGAGCAATGTCTCATTTGACTTCGGATGGCTTAACGACTGCCACCCTCCGTTAACTGAAGAACTATGGGTAAAAATATGGAGACAAAAATCATCTTCATTTATAGCTTAATATCCTCACTTTTTTTGGAACCTAATTGCATTGCTTATTATCACACGAGGTTTCATAAAAATTTTCATATAGCTCTATCGCTTCAAATAAGTCTCAAAATTGCTTTTGGCCGAACGAAACCGTTCGAAGTTAGAAATGAGCTTCGTCTTCATGAAAATTTAGCGAAAATTTTCAGCTTCTTTATAATATTTTCATGCTTCTTCTCAATTTTAAATCTTCATTCATTCAATTACGCGATGGAATTGCGGTTATATTGACAAGAAGGTTTCGAACACTAAATCTCAATGCTGCAGAAAAAACCATGAAAAGTTTTGTCAAAGTAACAAACTTTTTCCATACTTACTACCCTTGCGACAAGCAACGGTATTGCAATCGGTTACTAGACTTTTTCCCCTAAACAACTTTGTTCACAGAATGGTCAAATGGTAATCAGTATATTTCATACCCGCTACATAAATGGTTACTTTTACCGCTGTATTGCTAATTAAGTCGGCTTGCTTGCCTGGTAATTTATTTCGGTAACTTTTTGTCGGTTTTTTCAGTACTTTTTTCTTCATATTCCAGAGGGTAAATATAATGCATGTTTCCTTATTTTTTGTATACTCCAAAACTTTCTGTTAGAAAAGAAAAACTGAAGGAAAAAATTGCAAAAAAAAAATCATTTTTTTCGGATGCCTGGTTTCTGTTTTTTTGTTTAATCAAAAAGTGCGTGGAATTAGTTTTAACTTTTATGTGATGTGTATTTAGGATCGACCGTATTGTTTGAATGTCAAAAAATTTTCGAAAGAAATTCCAAAATGTTTTTTTATTTGCATTTTTGACTTGACTGTTTTGTCAACGAAGATATGTGGCAAAATTTGCACGAGAGTCAGGTGTGTGCTTCTTTCTGGCTGAAATACCTGAATTCGTTTTTTTGTCCATTTAACTGGTATTTTTTTTTGTTTCGATCTATCAGCTCTCTTAACGTTTTGTATCAACTTCATATTCGATAATTTTGATGTAATTGGGTTATTTTTATAAGCCTTAAGAGTTTTTTCAGGTTTTCTACAATTTTTTTGTCGTCGAATTTATTTGAGTGCTTTCAATTTTTTGTAGTTTGTTTTCAATTTTTTCATTTTGCTCTTAGTTTATAGCCAATAACGGACAGGACCTTTTCATAAACTCAATTGTTCCTGTAGGACATGAAGGTTCCTCATTTGCAAAATTTAAAGCAAAGTTTTTTAGTACATTCAGAACTATTGGATATCGGTTTTTTGGACTAAAATTTTCTTATCATTTCCATCTATTGGTTGTAAGAAAGACATGAATGAAGTTTGTGTTGCCTGAATCCTTCTTATGTTGTTCAACAATTGCATTAAAACGTTTCGTGATTTTTCAAGCTTAAGATTTTTTTAAAACAGAATCCATTCAAGTTTTTCTTTTGCCACAACATCTTTAGTTATTTCTCATTTTTTTGTATCCCAAATGGTGTGAAGCTCAGTTTCGTCTCTGTGTACAATTATAGACGTAGACTTTTTGCTAGTCTGAAATTGTTCTGAAATTGTATGACTGAAGCCTTATTCGCTACCGTATACACCACATCTTATATGACCTTTGACCCCTTTTTTGTGCTGGGCTGTGTAGGTGAAGCAGACGCTGGATGACATAATGGAGAAGTTGCCAGAGTCGTTCAACATGGTGGAGTTGAGTGGGAAGACGGAGGAGAAGACGCCCTACACTGTGGTGTGTCTGCAGGAGTGTGAGAGGATGAACACCCTCACCAACACCATCAGGGGGTCCCTCAAGGAACTGAACTTGGGTGAGGAATTATAGAGGGGGGCTTCTTTTGGTTAATTGTGATCGATGAGGTTCTGTTATGATAGAATTAGAATGATACGGTTGCTAAAAATCTAGAAGTGTCAAGTTGGTTTCCTATAATTGAACACCTTCGTCAACAGCATCGGGGAAGGGGGAGCTTTTTTGGTTAATGGTGATAAATATTGTCATGTATAATAGAATGATATGGTCCCGACACGAATGTTGGTATTTACTAAAGATACTGAATTTGGCCAGAAAATAAGCTTTTTTTTCATGTCAATCCTTTATAAATCATGAATCATTTCAAAGTATCGCCCTTAGGAAAAAAAGTGTTCGCTTAAAAAAGTTTTGTCGCCATACCGCTCATACATATTAAATTTCAAAAGGGAACTGTTCTTTGACAGCATCAGATTAATTGCTGAACCAGTTAATGATCTTTAGCAGTCGTTTTAATATTGGTTTCTGCTCCAGATGTAACCTTTAACTTTATGTAATCTGACTGAGAAAAAAATGAGTGAAAAGTATGTGAAACCGGAAACTGACTAACGATGCGCTCTTATCATTCTAAGAATTTTGTTTTAAATAAATTTGAAGGATTTTGAATTTGATGTTGAAATTTGATTGTATAGGTCTGAAAGGTGAGTTAACAATCACGCCTCAGATGGAGGAATTGATGAATGCTCTGTTCCTGGACAGTGTTCCTGGCCCCTGGGAGGCCAAAGCGTATCCCTCCACTTTCGGACTGGGCCAGTGGTATGCGGATCTACTGCTGAGGATCAAAGAACTCGAGATATGGTCCAACGATTTCTCACTACCCAACACTGTGAGTACCAAGTTGGCTCCCTTCTCAAGGCCGAAGGACCAATTGGCCAAAAATTTTCAACCAATCCACATTGTTTGAATTGTTCAACTTCGATTGTTTTTTTGCGAATTTTTGAGAAATGGGTTTTGATTGTCTAAAATAGATTTCTACTCTGAACGATTCCTCTTCACAAGTATTCTTAAACAGACTCTCGTTGCCTGAATGAAAACTCTTGGTTATCAGCTCTTTGCAAAGTTTACGCCTTAAAAGCAAAACATTCAAGTCAATGTTTTTCGACACAGACAATTTTTTTTTCGATAGTTTTTTTTTCGAATCAGGACATCACGGACATTAAAAAAACTCACCCTCGGCCATAGCAGTTCCATTACTCCTATACTATAAGTGTTCATAGGAAAAGCTTTGTTTTAGGTATGGCTCGGCGGTTTATTCAACCCTCAATCCTTCCTCACAGCCATCATGCAGCAGACTGCGCGTAAGAACGAATGGCCACTTGACCGAATGACCATCTCGTGTGACGTCACAAAGAAGAGCAAGGAGGACTTCGGCAGTCCCCCCAGAGAGGGTGCTTATGTGTATGGACTGTTCATGGAGGGCGCCAGATGGGACACACAAAGTGGCTTGCTCTCCGAGGCTAGGCTGAAAGAGTTGACCCCTAGCATGCCCGTATGCTACCTCAAAGGTATGCTATTCAGAGGGAGAGGGAGGTTTTGGAAAAGCAAAACAGGGGTTCGGAACTGGGTTGCAAAAAAAATCAATGGCGATAATATGATTATAAAAATTGTGCGAGATTTTTCTAATTTGTTTTACGGCTTATTTATATTCTTATATATTATATATATTCTAGTTTAAATTGGCCAATATATATTCTATTGACTATAAAGCCTGAATTTCAAGTTATTTGTTTTTTTTTAGTCAACAAAAATTATAAACAATACCAAGACTGTTTTTATAGTTTTCACAATTTCTGTTTTATTTTTCACTTTTTGTCAGTTTGAGTGCAAATTTTTAGCGTTTTACCTTTTTTGTCTATTGTAGCTATTCCCGTGGACAAGGCAGATCTGAAGAACATGTACCCCTGCCCTGTCTACAAGACCCGAATCAGGGGTCCCACTTTCGTCTGGGTATTTAACCTGAAGACCAAGGAGAAACCTTCCAAGTGAGTAGCCCCCAAAATTATCAGAAGAAAAGTTTTAAAGCACAGAAAAAAACGGACAATTAATAAAAATCCATAGCAGAATTTAAAATCAGAAAAAAACGTACAAACAAATAATTTGCTTAAAACATTCATAAGCATGAAAGGAAATCAAAAATTGATTTTAAACAGAGTATTTTTTGCATTTTCTTGAAATCAAATAATGATTTTGAGTATTTATAGCATAAACTGAAATCAAAAATAACATTAGAGTAATGAAATGAAATTTAAAAAATAGCCTTAATTGGAATTAAAAAACTCCAATTAAGAGTTTTCTTATCATAAATTCAAATCAAAAAATGTTTTAAGAGTGTTCTGAGGATAAACTAAAATAAAAAAAATCATAATTTTAGAATGTTCTTAGCATAGTTTGAAATAAAAAATGCTTTAAAGTATTCTTATTAGAAATTGAAATTGAAAAAAGATTTTAGAGTATTTTTAGCATAAATTGAAATTTAATTTTGTTTCAGAGTTTTTGAAATTGAACTGTAAACATGATTTTGGAGTTTTGATAGCATAAATTGAATTTTTTTGGAGAATTCTTAGCATAAATTGAAATCAAAAAATGATTTTAGAGTATTAATAGCTCAAATTGAAAGCAAAAAATGATCTTAGCACATTCTTAGCAATTCAAAATTATACCAAAACGTTGCATATGCAAAGAGATCCCTAAAATTTGATTCAATCAACTTGCTTCAGATTAAAAGTTGATCAGATTTTGCTTGGTTAGTATATCGCGACACTCGAAAGTCAACCAAAATGCAAATTGACACCAAATAGTTTTTAAACTTTTTCAGTTTAACAGGCTTGAGTCAGCTTTATGAAGTTGAGTGGTTTCTGTTTTCAGGTGGATCATGGGCGGTGTAGCTCTACTGCTCAGTGTATAGAAGTCACTACAAAACAAGGGATCCACAACAAAACGAGGAGGTCACACACAAGCATGACTAGGAAAAATAGAAACTTGCACTCGAATATGATTCAAAAATTGAACCTGATAATTTTGAAAAATGTCTTAAATCTCTTTGACAATAAAATCATATCAATTTCTTGTTTTTTGCTTTGTGAAAAAGATTCGACAATTCAAGCTAAACTTACTGAAAGCTAAAGAGATTGAATCAAAAGGGGTTTAATGTAGTGGTGGTTGGTTCGATGTTAATTCAAAACTCTTCCTTTTTGACCACCTGCGAAAAATGTAATATGGAACGAGAAAAAGCGCTACTATCAGCTTGTCTAGAAATCTTCAGGTCTGCTATATATTGACCATATTTGGTAGTGGAAGCAACCTTCAATCGGATCCAAAATAATCCCGAATAGATCCGAATTAAGTTTGAGTTTTTTTGAGTTTTTTCCAAACCGAAAGCACCGAAGAGCTTCAAACTGATAACTTTCTGAACCCAATTGGACATCTACGTCAACTAAAAGGCTGAAAAAGCAGAACAAATTGCGGAATAAAGGCCGTTACTGCGGTCTATTCACAGATTGATACGAAAAATGTTTTTGCTCCACATTTTTTTTCTTTAGTTTTTTTCTTTAGTTTATTGTGTTCGTGGAACATAGGGATTGGTAAAGACAAATGTTTAAAAACAAACTGCTTCTATCAAGAGAAATTTCTGAATTCGTTAAATGGTTTTTAAAAAAGTTTTAGCAAAAAAACTAAGTATAAAGTCTTGTAGTTTTAAGCTTTGTTTTTTCGTTCCAATCACAGTCAATGTCAAACAAATGTCATTTAAGTGAATATACATATAATTAGTTTGCCTCAAGTTGTTTTTGACTAGTTTTATGCCACGCTCAAATAATCGCTTTTGGGTTTTCAGACTTAAAGATAAATTCCTAAAGTTTCGGATAAATTAAAGAAAAAAAACATCGCAAAACTGTTTTTCTCAAACTCCTGCAATTTTATCCAATACAATCACATCGTGAATTGTTTTGTTTCATTTGAACTGAACACAGTTGATTTTTCATCGAAGAGTATAAACATTGTACTTGAAAACTTTAATTGTTAGAGCCGAAAATCTGAATGAAAAACTTAACCCTTCCTTATACTTTCCATTAATTTTTTTCGAATGTTAGAACAATAAACGTTCATTTTTTTGATGATTTCTTTACATGAAGCTCATATTCAACTAACACAAGAGGTACTTGAAAAACTAGAGAATCGAAGTATCATAATACACACTTGACTATATGACTATCTAAGCACAGAAACAGTTGGTTCTGACGCCCTTAGAAGTTGGTTTTTGAAGAGAAAAAACTCAGCAAATTTTTTCAAAACAGAAGTAAGCTTAAACTAAACATGCTAAATATTTCTGAATTTTACCAATCAATTTTACTTAAGTAAACTATTACCAAAACGAAATGATTTTGCAACTAACCCGCGCTGGTTTTTCTACTTTTTTTAATCTACTTGAACGAGAACACGACAAACACAGTCGTACAAAACGCCCCCACACATGTGTGGTGAGGGAATTAAAAAGCTAATCCTAAAGACCGGAATTCTAGGATAAAGTGGTTGTTTTTTTCTCATGAAAAAGTTTCCTGTCGGCTTAGGTAGCCGAAGGTAAAACCAGTTATTGAAATCAAATTTAGGATAGAAAGTGTTGTTGAATAAGCTACAAAACTCTAACCGGATTCACAAACTAGGTCAAACGACAAAGTACTAATCGAAGTGTGAAAGCACTACGAACAAAACCAGTTAGTTTGGTCTTGGCAAATTAGGTTGAATAGCACCGTTGAATGAAATTAGATTACTACAGAGAAGGGCAAGTAATGGCCATCCAGATAGCTGACTAATTTTATGATTTGCTCAGCTACTCAAGTCATCCTCTTTTAATTTTTTTTTATAGGTTTTAAGTTTTCCGACCATACATAGGTTGCATTTCAGTCTTTTTTTCTGTTAGGCGTTCAAAATTTTTGATGCCATCAAGTTCTGGTCCCAATGCTCTTTCCTTCCCGCATGAATAGTCTGTATGAATTTCGTCGACATCCTCTTGAGCTGTGTCGTAATTGGATGCCGATTGCGTCTCCATTATTCGTTCTGTTTCTGCGAGTACTCGTTCCCTTTGTTCCCGTCGCTTTTGTTCCCGGATGCCCTTTTCAGTGCTCGTTGTCGAAACCGTGGGTGTTTCATCTCGGAAGTGTACGGGACCTAGATCGTTCAAATTGATCGTATCGCTCGTTTCTCGCGATTAATCTATCCGGGTTTCTGGTAGTTTTCCCGATTTCAGTGTTGTCTGAGCCTCCGCTTTTTTCTGTCTGATTTGTATTTTTCTAGTCCTTAGCCTGAATCTCTTAGTCAGCGCGTCTTCGCTTTGTGTCAAATGAATCAGGGCTTAACTTGACGAAACTTGAATCTACCTGCAATGCCGGTGGCGATATGGTCTCAGCTGTCTTGTCTCTAGTGTTCGGCGGGCTAGATGTGCGTGATATAGAGGTTTTCTTGGATGTAGGCGTGTGATCCTATTTTTTGATACTCGTTTTCTCTTCGATTCTGATGGGCTCCGGCGTTTTCGTATTTCGTCCTTCTCTGCATGACGATTTTCTGTAGAGCCCGTTATTTTCCGCAAGATGTGCTTTTGGTGTCACTTCAATTTGGTTCTCGCTGTGTTCCGGGTGGCCGGACTGACCCGTGTCGTTTGCTGAGCTTTACTGCTCGGCGGTGATCCTTTCTTTGCTGCAAACTTCCACAGTGGGAATCTCTCGATAGTCGGGGCCAAGTCCGAGTGGTAAACAACCTATTGCCTTTTTCCCGAGCGTTTAAATCGTATTCGCTGCGTTTGTTGCTTGTAAGATCGTTGTGCCCTCTGGTTCGTCTATATCCAGTGTTGGCCTATTTGTCCATCCGCTTTCTTGTTTGCTCATTTCGCCATTTTTTTTCATCTTTATTACCGATGTCACTGCGTGTGTCTGTGTCCCTTCTTTGCTCGTCAGACATCAGCGTCGTTACCAGCGTTTCCTTGTCTAAACAGGACTTAACAACTTTATCCTAATTAAGTTCAGCCAACTGGTTTTTTTATACTTTGTTTGAAAGCGGCGAGTTCGGTTTGGGCGCGACGTTGGCCACGAATGGTGTCAGCCCGATAGTTTTAGTGATGTTGTTTTGAAGGAAGCTAACAGTTCTTTAATTGCGTTTTTGAGCTTCAAGGATTCTTTTCTGTCTTCTCTTTTGCATCTGAACAGTTTTTATCAAGCGTTCGACCAATCCTTAAGTACGATGGTCTTTTGATGGGGCTGCAATTGGATCTACATTATGGTTCCACACTGTTCAGTTGGTGCCGCCCCTGAAGCTTTAGCATGATTGAAGACTTCAGCCGCAGAGAATTTTGAAAATTGATCTATGGCTAATAGGATGCACATCTCTTCCTTATGTATCGCTCCGCAAAATCCATTTGAGTTTCTTGACTTGGTTCTTCTATTTTTTTTTCAGCGGTTGCCAATCAGATTTTGAAATCATGGGGTTGTGCTCTTACCGATTGTGGAACGGGGTTTTCTCGGCTTTGCTAATGAGGGATCGATGTTTGAGTGGTCCGCTCCAAAGCTGAGGTCATTCCTAGTTAACTCGAGTGAGGGGCGTGGAAATTGTCGACATCATCCATCTCTCAGAGCTGATGATTTTGCTACTTTCTCGTCTACAAAAACAATCCTTCCTTCTACATCAACTTTTAAGAATTGACACTTTTCAGTGCTCGTTGTCGAAACCGTGGGTGTTTCATCTCGGAAGTGTACGGGACCTAGATCGTTCAAATTGATCGTATCGCTCGTTTCTCGCGATTAATCTATCCGGGTTTCTGGTAGTTTTCCCGATTTCAGTGTTGTCTGAGCCTCCGCTTTTTTCTGTCTGATTTGTATTTTTCTAGTCCTTAGCCTGAATCTCGTAGTCAGCTCGTCTTCGCTTTGTGTCAAATGAATCAGGGCTTAACTTGACGAAACTTGAATCTACCTGCAATGCCGGTGGCGATATGGTCTCAGCTGTCTTGTCTCTAGTGTTCGGCGGGCTAGATGTGCGTGATATAGAGGTTTTCTTGGATGTAGGCGTGTGATCCTATTTTTTGATACTCGTTTTCTCTTCGATTCTGATGGGCTCCGGCGTTTTCGCATTTCGTCCTTCTCCTTTGCATGACAATTTTTTGTAGAGCCCGTTATTTTCCGCAAGATGTGCTTTTGGTATCACTTCATTTTGGTTCTCGCTGTGCTCCGTGTGGCCGGACTGACCCGTGTCGTTTGCTGAGCTTTACTGCTCGGCGGTAATCCTTTCTTTGCTGCAAACTTCCACAGTGGGAATCTCTCGATAGTCGGGGCTAAGTCCGAGTGGTAAACAACGTATTGCCTTTTTCCCGAGCGTTTCATCGTATTCGCTGCGTTTGTTGCTTGTAAGATCGTTGTGCCCTCTGGTTCGTCTATATCCAGTGTTGGCCTATTTGTCCATCCGCTTTCTTGTTTGCTCATTTCGCCATTTTTTTTCATCTTTATTTCCGATGTCACTGCGTGTGTCTGTGTCCCTTCTTTGCTCGTCAGACATCAGAGTCGTTCCCAGGGTTTCCTTGTCTAAACAGGACTTAACAACTTTATCCTAATTAAGTTCAGCCAACTGGTTTTTTTTTTACTTTTGTTCGAAAGCGGCGAGTTCGGTTTGGGCGCGACGTTGGCCACGAATGGTGTCAGCCCGATAGTTTTAGTGATATTGTTCTGAAGGAAGCTAACAGTTCATTAATTGCGTTTTTGAGCTTCAAGGATTCTTTTCTGTCTTCTCTTTTGCATCCTAACAGTTTTTATCAAGCGTTTGACCAATCCTTAAGTACGATGGTCTTTTGATGGGGCTACGATTGGATCTACATTATGGTTTCACACTGTTCAGTTGTTGCCGCCCCTGAAGCTTTAGCATGATTGAAGACTTCAGCCGCAGAGAATTTTGAAAATTGATCTATGGCTAATAGGATGCACACCTCTTCCTTATGTATCGCTCCGCAAAATCCATTTGAGTTTCTTGACTTGGTTCTTCTATTTTTTTTTCAGCGGTTGCCAGTCAGATTTTGAAATCATTGGGGTTGAT